AGAACACTGGGTATGAAATCCTCCTTTGTGACAAAGAATGCTGGGAATGTAATCATCTTGTATGATTAAAGATCCAATAAGATCAAATTACTGATTCTTACCCCTGATTATTACTGCCTTTATTACCAATCTGGGCTAGATTATCTTCTGAACAAATCTGAGGGAAATCCGGTCAGTGTTCTTTAGTTTTCAGATTGGTGTGATTTGAAAAGTTCAGCTAAGTCCACCCGTGTGGCTCAGCGGTAGCGCAGGTACCTCTTACGCAATAGGTCCCGGATTCGATCCCCGGTTCAGGCAAGACTAAATTTGCTTGTTTGCGTGAAGTACTTCAGGGTGTTTGACTGAGTGGTCCGCAACTCGTACAAAAGGCTGTGGTGTGTACTTGTATGTCTATGTATGAGTGCACATAAAAGAACACAGGGCTCCTTCAAGGAGGGGCTTCTGGGTCTATCTTCCAGGATAATTACGTAAATTACGACCGTATATACGGGATATACCCAAGAGGTATTGCTCACCTTCATTGGTGGTAAACAAAATACAATACAATACAATATGAAGGTATGATATGAGGCTTTTAACTGGATATGATATGAGGGAATGATATGAGTTTTTCAACTGGATATATGAGGGTATAGTATGAGGTTTTCAACGGGTATGATATGAAGGTATGATATGAGGTTTTTAACTGGATATGATATGAGGGAATGATATGAGGTTTTCAACTGGGTATATGAGGGTATAATATGAGGTTTTCAACGGGGTATGATATGAAGGTATGATATGAGGTTTTTGATTGGTTGCGATATGAAGATTTCAGTTAGGTATGATATGAGGTTTTTAACTGGGTATGATGTGATGTTTTCAACTGGATGTAATATGTGGTTTGCTGTAATATGAGGTTTTTAAGTATGTGTAATGTGAGGTACAACTGAATGCCAGCCTAATTTCTAGCAATAACAATTCAGAAAGTGAAATAATTAAAGCTCTATGTATTTAATGAATTTGATTCACAGACTTACAAAATGTTGTAGACTATTAGTTCTGTCAACTGAACAGTGTTTCCAAATTGAAAATCTCAGTTTCAATGTTCCTAAAGTGAAACTCAGATCATGATTTATTATAAGCAAAACACATTGCATTGTTTGTCAGATTCATTTAGACTTTCCTATCAAACATACAGCATATCCCAAGGCCAGCCCTTAGAAATATCGAAAACTTTTGATTTTTAAATGTTTTCCAATGAGTACAGAGTTTGGATTTAATAAATATTTGTTCATACCCCATTACCTCAACTATGTTCAAGAACGAAGTGATTCATCAAAATTTAGAGACAAAAAGGAAAATGATATGATACAACATTTTAAAGGTTTTCAGATAATTGAAAGTACATGGGTAGAATAGAGAAGCAAGCATGTAGATGAAAATTGGAAATCTAATTATGAATGTATGACCTGCCAGTCCAGATTGAAAAAATGATGATAAAGATGACCATATTTAGCCACCCCCTACCCCTCATAACTGACAATTATTACTTTTGCGGGAATATATCAGTGGTTTGATAAGAAAACTAGTATGACCTGCCAGTCCAGATTGATAAAGTTAAAGATGACCATATTTGCCCCCTCCCCATCCTCATAACTGACAATTATTACTTTTGATGGGAATATATCAGTGGTTTGATAACAAAACTATAAAGACAAACTTTGACTTGGATTAAGAATAAACTTAAGAAAGTTTATGATTCAGCCCTTTAGTGTTTAACTAACTGATGGCCTGTTTAAATTGAGACTCTCATAAACATAAGAAAATAGTCAATGCAGTTGATGCTTTTACATGCATACAAAACTATGTGATAAATCAACAAAAATAAATAAATAGATAAACTCTTACAACATACAGTAAGGCTGAAACATTTCGATGACATAAACCTCTTTAAAAAAACAGAACCCACATGAACCACAAACAAGAGTAATATTTTTTCCCAGGGATTTTTAAATTGATAGCCTCGACTTACAGATACTTGGCTCAAGTGGTGATTTGCCAAGTTTGATCTGCAAATTTTTTTGTTGGTGATTAGGCCCTATAGGCATAGAGTTGGCGTTATTGATAGATATACCTCAGGCCTGTAGAAATTTGGAAACTCTAAACCTTCAGACAAATGTTGAGTCATAAGATCGGGTTTGATTTGTTGCTTTCTCTTTGTTCTTTTAACCATGTAGAATTTGTTGTTATGTCTGTGATCCTAGTTTTCATAATGGTTCTTTCCCAATTTACAAGAATCAATTTTTGAAAACCAGGGGTTTCATTAGCAGCAGACAACAGGTGATTTTCACTGGTTGTTTTCAAAAAATCACTGATTGTTTTTATGGACTTTTCAACTTTTCCAAGTTAAATTTATGATTTCCATTAATTTTGCCTGTTGTTTTCAATTATTTAGCCTGTTGTGAGAATTCTAGCGAAACCCCTGATAACCCAACAAAATGTATCAGTGCTTTTATATAAGAGATAGCAGGACTTTATTTAGACATCAGGAAAATCAACTTTCACTTGATGACATTATCTAATTATGCTTCTTCTAAATTAATCTAATCAAATCAATCTATTTAAACAAGTCAGTATGCCCCTCAAATGGATTTTTCCTATTTTAATACCCTTTTATATAATTAGTTTTAGTTATACTTCTAGGCTCTGTATTTCTGGCTACCTTTTCACCTGATGTATGTCATTGGCTTATTCAAATCATCCATTTTCCCCAAGCTACAGAGCACCAATCACGGCTGGGTTTATTCTTAGTGGTTAAATATAATGTTAAGATTATGGTTCGAAAAGTAAAACAAATGATTTAAGATAGGTATCATAAGATGTACGAGTGTCTACTAAGTGGCAACGTGAACTTTCTCTTGTAAGCATCTAAAAATCATGATTCTAAAATATAAGTTATTGGTTATATACCCGACTGATATAGGTTCCCATATGTTAAGGAGAAAATTAACATCGGTTAAGGGCAAAGATTTCATTTGTCATTTCAACCCCAGTTGAATATATCTACTTCCTATTGTGCAAGAAATAATCTGTACTTTTCTCCATATACTCAAATCTATAAGACATATATGATTGTTGATTTCGAAAAATAGATGTAAACTTAAAAGCATAAATGCAGGTCAGTAGACACATAAAACTTTTTAAACCTATCCAAAATAATCTACAGATATAGTGATCGTTTAACATTTTGCCATATGTTCAATAGGTAACAATTTCACAATGCTACAACTGAGTCGAGATACTATCAAAATATATCAAATCAAATTCCCCTGGTGCTGTCACCATGAATTTCATTTTTTCTTTTTCTTGACTTACAAGATTTTTGCGCTGGTACTTCTCCCCTTGAAAGATTATTGATGCCTTGCAATATTAATGCCTCCTAAAATAAATTCCGATGTTTGGAGGTTCTGTAGTTTTTTCAAGTAGTATAGTGCCTCATTATTGAGAACTTACCAATAGCTTCAGTTGATATGTAACAGAGAGCTTGTTATAAGTACCATTTGCCATTAGTTGAGAATTTAATTGCTTCCTTGCAAAACGGCATGTAAAATTCTTTAAGAGTTCCTGGGAAAGTATTTAAATCTCATCATCCAAAAAAGACAAAAATTGCATCAAATTTCAGAATGTACAATGGAGAAATGGTACTACTGAAGATACATGGAGCGAAATTATCCCTTATATGATTACATATTCTCCCAGATTACAAACTAAAATGTTTGTTTTCTTAAAAATTTCCTTACAAAGTTTACACTGAAACCAATCATATATAGATTACACATACATCTGTATGTTAAGGGGTGAAACAATGGATATATAGTAGGGCAAAACAATGATATTAAGTAGGATAGGCAGCTACCAAGCTTAGTGTTAAAGTTATCTATTTTGATTAATTGGTTCAGATACAGAAACTTTGCTTGAAACAAGTTCAATACTAGACAAACACTTGATCACCACCAATGTCCTCAAAGTACAACTCCTTATTTATGCAGGATAAAAATGGACCAAATGATGAACAACATTTCAAAACAGAAGCAATCAAAAACCTCACCCCCGCCCTCTACCCACATCTAGGGTTAAGCTACTCATTTTCACAGTTAGTAAAATGGATTATTTGTACATATTCAAATCTAAAACTAGTGAAAAAATACAGCTGCAATATCTTTACTTTCATTTTATTTGACACATAAAAGTGCTCATCTGTACCATGAGTGGCAAAAATGATGTATTGATGACCCATTATACAGACTCGGATACTAAAATCCCCCAAATCTATTGGATACAAGGTTCTTATGAGTCATGAAATAAACACAATACCCACACACATGATTTATTCCATACTGTCATATGTGCATAATCATGGACACAATACCCCTTTAGAAAACTAATCAGCGTAAAAAATCAAACGTGATATCATGTTCATTTTATGTTCAAAGCCTAATCTCACATTATAGGCACTGCTATTTGCAAATGAATCCCGATCACTGCTCGTTATGTATACTCTAATATGCAAGCCTCGGGCCTTGGCTGGATCTTCTCAGTTTCACCTCGTAATAAAACAACAACACTACTGCTAATAGCACTTATTTATGCTAACTGTCAGTGCAGTGCTAAATTCATTTTGAATTCCCCTCCATAAAGTTTGCCTTTAGTTTGCAACAGGTTATTGGAAAGTATCAACGCTTCAATGACCAAAGCTACTTACATACATACCTGTAGTGTAATAGTAGGCCTCAGTGAGCCCAGCGCATGCACACACGGTTGAATAATCTTGACCTATAATTTACTCAATACATACAAAATCGCCATATTGATTTCTATAGATTATTCCATCAAATTGATCTGTCATTTTCAACAATGAAAAACACCCTTTCATTTACCAGCGATTTCAACCAAACTCATTGAAATGATACATTTTTATATTATTTGCTACAACGCAAAGTTTGAAAGAGATATCTCACCTGTAAGTCTTGCAAGTCGAAGTTTTTCCAATAGAGATTCATCGACTGCAAATTCGCAGCCATCTTCACCGATTTCTGGCCAGTTTGATTGGTCACGTGACAAATCGAGATCGAACTAATCTCACATTCAAGTTGATATTAATAACACATATAAATCATAATTCTAAGTAAGTCATCCACTTAAATAATCATTTTCCAGTATTCTATTATTCCTTCGAGTTGGTGTTATTACTCTCAGTACAATATATTGAAAACAATAAAATCAAAACGATTAGATTGTCGAGACTATTTTGCGAGAAAGTGCGGGAAATCACGGGACTTCAAACATGGACGAAAAAACTTGGCGAAATTTTCTCAATGAACATCCGATTTTTGATGAAATTAGGCAAGCGAATGCGAATCAAAGGGTGCCAACCGAATCTCTAGATATATTGGCAGTAGAAGATGGCGAAGTTTTCGTTTGGAATGCTAGCACAGCAAACATACTGACCGCAAATCTAAAAAATTTTGTTCAGAAAAATGACCGCTCAGCACATTTTCAGGTTTGAATTTATTTTTATTACCAGAGTCATTAGAGCAAAACATATACTCCACAACCCTGACTTCAGACACATTATCACTAATTACAAATTAAAAAGTCATTTTTCTGGTGAGAACATTAGATCTAAGGTTAGACCATGGTAAGACGTGAAGTTGGTTGGTTGGGGCAAAGTAGTGTAACTTCGATGTGGTGTAATGACGACAAAAAAGACGGGGTAACTTTGACACTTACTTATTGGAAGTAGAATATCCCTTTCTGCCATGTTTGATTTCTGGAAAAATTAAAATCTCGCGAGATCTTGATCCATGTGAGAAAAAAATGTGGCTACCCCTAGGTCGGAAATTAGAGCAAATAAACAACAAGGTGTCAAAGTTACCCCACATTTCGAGGTTACCCCAAAATGGTGTCGATGCTACACCCCTTCGCCCATGGGCTTTCAAAAGAATTGAATGCCCATGCTTCGCCCTATATCCTTTCTTGAGGTGCACATGTGCATGATGTCACCGAAATAGTCTCAAGTGCTGATTTAGTCTCTAGAATTTGGAATTCACCAGATTATTGCAATGAGGTGTAATGGGCTAACTTCGACACATACTAGTTAGAAATTAGAATTTCCGTTTTCTGCCATGTTTGATTTCGGAAAAACTTAATATCTCGTGCGAGATTTCAATCCATGCGAGAAGAAAAACATGGCTTCCACCTAGATCAGAAATTAGGGCAAAGTTACCCCTAATTGAAACGAAATGGTGTTGACGATACCATCCATGCTATCACTATGTTTCAGCATGGGCTTTCAACTAGATATGTCTGTTTTTATTGAAAATATGAGCCATTTTATTTCCTGTTTGATAAAACTGGCAATTAGAGCCTGGATGACAATGAGTAGTGCTATTTAGCTGCTAAGTCATGTTGTTATTGAATAGTTACATTAACCAGGAAGTAAAATGATTGAATATTTAAATATTAGTATGTCACCATGTATACTTCTTTTTCCTTTTATATAGGCCTACTGTATAATAGAATACTAATAACGTAACATATTGTATACTTTGAATGTCATTATATTATTGAACCATTATCTTGACTGCACCAGACTAGATGCGAGTAGAAATAATCATGATTTACGCCATTTATAATTCAAAATTCAGTCAAAGTGATATCATATTTTAAACCTACATGTACAAGTACATCTAGAATTGTGGTTTTATAATGCGTTTAGCATCTTTGAATATTTTTTTCTTTGAAAATGTAACTTCTAGGTCATGGAGATTTTCTATAGAACACCCCATACATGTATATTAGACAGATAATATTTTCTTTTACTGGACACTATTATTATTTGTATAACTATCAGATTCATTAGGGTAAAATGGTAATTATCTACTCACATCTGGGTAATTCAGTTGTATGATTGATAATGATCGAAAGGTACCACTATGAAATCTGCGAAACTGCACTTCTTTACCGCATGTAAAGTTCATTGCTCAGTATATAAATGATGACATCATGCTACAGAACACGGTCTCCGCTTTATACGCAAATTATATACTGCATGAGTCTCATTTTGATTACATGCAAAATTTTTCAAAAAAGGTTATTTATTTTCAGACCCTTATATGCAACAATGCTCCAGTGTTCAATGTTTCATCTCTGCTGTTTAACCAGACTGGCCACCAGGTGGCTCTTGTAGGCTCATGCGGAATCAGTGTTGTTCAGTTACCTCGGCATTGTGGGAAACATGCTGAATTTGAAGGTGGGAAGCCTAAAATATCATGCAAGTAAGTTCAAACCTAGATTTTTGTACATTGGTTTCAAAAAGTCAAATTTTATAATGAATTTTTCTCAGTACTCCTAATACTTGTTCTTGTGGTCAATTTCCTACTTATTTTTCAAAAGATTTTCTTAATTCATATACTATAAAGTAGCTTCTGATTTCAATAAGTACACAAAATCTTTATTGAGAAAGATTACAGATGTTTTATGATATTTTAAATGGATTGAAGACATGACATTCTGGGTTTAACTTGTTTGTTTAACATGGCATTCTGATTTATCAGAGTTTTTGTTTAGCTTTAAACTTGTGAGAGGGATAGTACAGACTATTTATGCCACATCATGTCATTACAGCTTCTTGTTTGGTTAAACTATGTTTTTTTGATTAACTTTGTTAAAACACCACGTTATGTGTTTGACTTGTTTCGTTTTCAGAACAATCCCTGTTGCTGAGAGATTTTTCTTGACCAATGACAGAGTGCGTGTACTACATGCAGCGTGGCATCCTGGGAGTGAGACGGGACAACATCTTGTCGTGTTAACATCAGATGATACAATCAGGTACATTTTTGCTCCATTTCTCCCATTGGGACTTTTATGGATTTTTAGTGTACCATTGTGGGCTTTTGGGCTGCTGAAAAATTGTAATTTCAGAATTTACAATATGATTGATCTTCAACCTACTGAACAATTGTATATTCATTATTTACAATATGATTGATCCTCAACCTGTTGAACAATTGTATTTTCAGAATTTACAATATAAATGAGCCTCAACATGCAGATCAGACCTTCCATCTCTCGGATCTTCCTCTTAATGTCACAACGGCGGTCTCCCGATCTGTCTTCGCTGAGGTCTCCATGGGTGAAATAGCAGTCTCATTTGACTTTGGCCCTCCACATGACATTAAGCTGAGTTCCCTTAGTAAAGCAAAGACCGAAATTGCGTGGCCGATTTATATACTGAAAGGGAATGGAGATGTTTATTCTCTGAACACGTCCGTTAATGCGAGGTAAGAAAAGACTTAAGTTGAAGGACTGTTAATTTATTTAAACAGAAAATCAAATTGAGTCAAATAGATACAGGGTGGCCCAAAAGTCAGTTTACGATTATTCAGCAATTTGTAAACTATAACTGTAAACCTATTTTCTGGCCACCAAAGTTCCACTATATGGCTTGTTTGTTTTGAGAGTTCATTTATCAAAATATCCTTTGCTTAACAGAGGTATCAAGAGCAAAGTGACAGGTCCCCTAGCAATGCATCCTCCAGCTGAAGACAACTATGGAGTAGACGCCTGTTCTATCAGATGTATTCATTCCTCACCCCCAGTTATCGTTATAGCAACCTGCTCAGGAAACCTGCATCACTGTATACTTCTGAGTGGTGATCAAAATGATGATGTATCGGTATGTATGCATACCTTATTCTCTTATTGGAAATGTGCGTTCATTAGAGAGAATATTGTATTTTGATTCTTTGCTTTTCATTAAACCAAAATATTTTGAACAACCTTGGGGAAAAATGTATTTTAGAAATTCAAAGATACAATAACAGGGGTTTCACTAGAATTTCTCACTAAATAAATAAAATCACCTGGCAAAATTAATGGAAATCATAAATTTAACATGGAAAAGTTGAAAAGTCCCTAAAAACAACAGGCGATTCTGTGAAATCAACCGGTGAAAATTGCCTGCTGCTAATGAAACCCCTGCAGTAAATCTACATTCACACCAACGGCGAATGCCACGCTTTTAATCGGCGAGCAAAGCGGCACCAAAGCATGGCGCTTTAAAGGGACTTGTAAAGCAGCACCAAAGTGTAATAGGTCGTAGAAAAGCTCGAAGTAAAGTGGGATGTTCGGGAAGAGCAGCAAAAATTTTTAAACTGTTTAAAAATTTTGGGCGCTCCGTTACGAATTGATTAAAGCGCAGAGAGCGTATCAAAGCTTAACAAACCGTAACAAAGCTTGACCCAAAGCGAAGGAAAGCTTAACAGAGCTTGGTTCAAAGCGGGACCCCAGCCTCTTCACGGTCTGTTACCACTTGACACGCTTCGTTTAGATGTCTCAAGCTTTGCTACGATCTGGCATGAAGATCTGACATGAGGTCAGACGCTTTCATCAATATCTGACACTTACGTTTTTACGCTTTCATGAATGACTCTCAAGCTTTCTCAAGCTTTTCTACGACCTATTGCGACCCCAAAGCTTTAATCGAGCTTTGTTACGCTTTGGTGCCGCTTTACAAGCAACTTTAAATTAGACAGAGACAGGGTGGCCCAATGTATATGTATATAATACATTATATTCAGCAATAAAATTGACTTGAATTCATAGCAGTTTTTATATCATCCTCATAAGTGACAGTTTCACTTGCTGAATTTACACTTCAACTTGCAGAAAATAGGGATGGGTAACCTCCAGTTTGTTGAGTATGCAATAGTTATCGTTGAATGTTTGTTTTCAGTCTTCATTTTTCAATGCTGGTTCCAACTCTACCCTTGCCTTTGACGATACTTCGGAAGCTGTAATGTATGTGTATGAAACTGTTGAACTTGAGTTGTCCCTAACAACAGTTGCTATAGAGACAGATGAAGTTGTAGATAATGATTTCAACTGCCCCATCACTCTACATAAAGGTATTTGACAGTAGTGTTGTATTGTATGGTATTGTCAATGTATGGTATTGCATTGTACTTTTCTCTTGTTGGAACTTCTGTGAAGTTATTATAATGTTTAACTGGTGGTGAAATGAGATCTACACTACAAGCCTTATTTCACGAAAAAAGTATATCGAAAATAATTCGCAATGTTCAGAATGTCAGTATCCAAATGAATGTCAAATTAAAACCCATCATTCAGAATGTCACTTTTTAACTGTCTCACTATTTTCTTCAAAGTATGTTTACTTTATCAGTTGTTGTAAATGTTTTTGTGCAATAAACAAGGGACCATACAACAAAGCAAAGAGACCTTTCTAATATGACATTAACATAGTTTCTATGGTGTTCTCAAGGTGACATGGTTTCTTGGAAATGCCTGTTAACAATATGAAATCATGTACATTTAACCCATAATATGTTTTCATAAAATTGTGTTTCAGATGTTGCAACACTTCACAGATACCACTGCTCCCACAGTTCAGGGGTACACACTGTTGTATTACCGTGGTTACCAAAGTTTGAGGAGTTCTGTCAGCTAGGTTAGCACATTTAGAATTTAACTCATGAAATAGGGAAAAAACAAAAATAGTACCTTTGAGGTACCTACATTTTGTTACAGAAACGAATCTGTTTCGGCAACTAGTTTGAAGAGTTTTTCGTTCGATTTCAGATGCACAAGATGTGATGTCTCAATTAGGTCAACAGGAAGAGGCAATTGTGGAACATCTAGTGTGCACCAAACCAATGTCTACCAGTGCCCCATCCCCTATACTAGGCCTATGTATGACAGTCGAACATCTACTGGGTGCCACACTCATGTGTCTTACATCATCATATGACTGCATAGCTCTGCCTTTGTTGTGAGTTTATGGCATTTTGTTATATTTTATTTATTTAAGAGGATTGCGATGATCGTCCAGTATGCTAAACTAATGTTTCTCAAAATGTATGACTGTATAGCTCTAACTTTGTTGTAAATTTTTTGGCTCACACTATTTGTCATCAAAATTTTCAGGAAAACTGCTTATGCATTCAACTAGAAATTTTGAGAAGACTAGAGCAGAGCAGACTATTGTCAAAATATTATTAGTTTTTGGGCATGCTGGGTAAATTGCATGGCATCGATTTCTCATAAAATCATAAAATTAGGAATTTTGTTAAAATATTTTTCGTCCATGTTGGAAACTGTCTCCAGAATAAAATATGAAAATTTCAATAAGAATGGTTATGTTCTATTGGAAATATAGAATAAAAACAGGACTGCATCATTCAACCTGTCAGGTGTACTAAAGTGTGATATTTACCACTTCATGTCTTGTTATACATTACAGGAGCAGTCACAGAGGAGTCCCGCCACCACTTCTCTCATCATCTCCCAGTAAGAGAGCCCTGTCTCCTCTACGTGCACTCCAAAAGGAACCATTCAATCAACACATTGCTAAGATACTCAAGAGAAACGCATCAAATCCCATACTTAAGTATGACAGTATTTTTGTTGATGTTTTAGCTTCCCTTTGAATTTTAAGATTGTCTTAGTTAATGATATCTTTAATTTTATTAATTAAGACATAAACATTGCATTATGTTTATTCAAGGTTTTTATAGCACTCAGTGTTCTCAACAAAAAAATTTCCATTTTCACAATTTGGACCAAAGTTTGACAAAATATGCCATGATTTTTCTCATTTTCAAGGGGGCAAGTGGATTTTCATGTAGGTGCTGCGCCCACTTGCTTTAATCTTTAATGCTGGGAAGATCACTGGCAATTTGAAAAATCTTGTTAAAATTCCAGGAAGATTCTCTTATAAACTTAAGATTTTTGTAGAAGGAAGAACAGACTCATACCAACAGCCAAGATCTGATTATGTTTTGGGCATGCTGGTTAATAACATAGTAGCCATTTTACTCCTCAAAGTGCGATATCACTGATGTGTTGCTATTATTAAGCAGTCACCTAATCTTATCATTTAAGGACTGACTCGAATACTGACCTGTCTCCACAAGAATGTTTCCAACTGCTGACAAGGGCAAGTCAAGTCTTCAGAGAGGAATACATTCAGAAACATGACCTGGCGAGAGAGGAAATAGAACGCAGGTGAGAAATGATGAGCTTATACATGCAGTATACTATTGTAAATGCCATCGGGACTGACCAAAGGTGTTCAGATTTAAAGATTTTAACATGGGAATCTATGGCAGATTAAAAAGGACCCAACAAAAAATATTCACATGGCCATTATTGAGACTGGCTTAAAGTATTCACTTTTCATGGCTTTTTTAACATGGAAATCTATGGCAGATTCCAAATATGGGACCATCAAAAGAGGATCACATTAAAAGGTGTTCATAAAAGAGAGATGCACAGATATACATGTTTAACTGTACAGTTAATAAATAGATGGCAGTAATTCGAGTTAAAATCTGAATTTTATTGCACAATTACCCATACTATACTATATCAGTCCTAAATATATATTTTGATATGTTGACCCCCAGCAAAACTTGTGACGCGGATAATATAGAATATTGCAACTTGGTAATTCAATGTCTACATGTTAATAGATAATTGCAATAATCAAAAACAATTTTATTGTAGGGTTAGAATCTTGAAGCAACAGAAAGAGGTGCAACAATCAGATCTAGAATATTGTAAAGTTATGAAAGATGAGCTGACAGATTCTGCGCGTAATCTAGCAGAGAAATATGAGGATGCTTTGGACAGGCAGCAGGCTATTGTCTCCAGGTAAACTGATGATAATGATATTTTAATTTATTCATAATTTTTATGTCACCACCACAAGTGGTGACAACTTTTCTATGGAGAGTGTTTGGCGGATGGCATTCAGAGTTTGCCATCTGTAACAAATGGCAGGTGTTGAAATTTCGCATGTAAATGGCTTATTTTTTAATATGATATGCGTTAAGATATCAAGCTGCTAGATGCCCAGAAGCATGTGTTGCGATGTAACAGAAATTTACATCTAGACTACATTTTAAACAAAGTACTTATACTTTGTTATAATAAATAAACATATATTGGATTTATTGACAAATCAGATCTTTTCATGATGATCATCTCTACCAATCCTTGACAATGTATGCATATGCCATCTATATAATACTGGGGCGGTTAAGCTACACAAGAGAAGTTGTATTTTCTTGTCAGAATGAGTAAAGGTATAAGGAAAATAGTTATAATTAGATCCCTGGAAAACGAGTTTGATCATGTATCACTCACTTCTTCAGTATTTGATGATTACATTATGATACAGATGATTCAATTAGCGATTTTCATGCAATTGAGTAGGCAACAGTCATCCCTGGGGACATGTTCACAATCAAGTTCTTTAAAGATGTAGCTTATACAGATATTTCTTTGATTGATTCAAAATTAAGTCAGTTTTTCCGACTCTATCTATGTGTGTGTTTGAAGTACAAACCCTTAAAAGAATTTAAGTTACACTTTTTTTGAAAATGAAAATAACAGTAAAAAATCCAAAAAAAAGACTGTTCAAAAGATATTTTAAAACCATTGAATCCAGGACAGATATAGCCAACATAGAATTCAAAACCAAGTATTTTCATTAAATATCTTTTGCATTAATAAATAAAAATAATGATAAAAAAAATTATAAGATGTATTTTATTTAAATTTAAGAGTTGACAACATTCTACGTAAAGTGCAATTGAAACTCCCTGTTCTCTCTGATGCTGAAAGAACCATGCAACGAGATCTGAAAACCATGGACACAAAGCTGAAACATTTCAAGAACTCTATTGAGCAGGTTAGTTTGTTCTCTTCATTGTGTTAAACACTGCTGGGATCTCTGAAGCATAGAAGTAGGTGGGTACTAAACATGAAGTAGAGAATTTGAAAATTATACTGCACCCTGTGGAAAATCAATTCAACCCAAAATCAGAATATGAAAATTATGATGGTTATTTTAATCAGTTTTGGGCATTTTTAGCTAGCATAGGTAAATGATTATTACCCAATGTAAGTGGAACACCTTTGTAAGGATACATCAAAGTTTTGTTTTCCATTAAATTTAATAAACTGAACAACAGAAATGGAACACCTCAAAATCGAACACTTTCTTCAGCTACCGAAAGCATCCCTCTTAGACAGGTTTTTACAGGACTAAAAATAGTATTCAACAATTCTGTATATCCAGTATTCCTGTACATATATAACATCAACTTATACAATTGCTTCAGATCAAGATAAAGCAGGACTACCAGAGAAGGCAGATCTCCCAGCAACAAAGACAGGACTCCAGAGGGCAGCACGGGTCACCAGTCATGTCTAAATCACAAACTCAACAACTAAAGAAAGTTTTGATGGAAGAGTAAGTATAAGATGTTTATTGCTTTGATATGAATAAAGATGGCAGTTGGTACCTAAAATAAATAATAATTTGCACTCAATACTAGGCTATTGAAAAGAAATATCTTATAACTTTTTTTGGTCATGACTTTGCATACATTTTTGTTTCAACTTTGCTTCTTATGTCACACATACAAATTACAAAATGTATCACATAGAAATTAGAAGGGCAAAAGTGAATACTCTCGACCAAAATGGAATAAAATGTAATTATAAAAGTGAATGCTTCTTTATGACCAAAATGGAATAAAATGTAATTTTAAAAGTAAATTCTTCCTTTTGACCAAAATGGAATAATAAAAGTGAATTCTTCCTTTTGACCAAAATGGAATGATAAAAGAGAATTCTTCCTTTTGACCAAAACGACACAATAAAAGTGAATTCTTCCTTTTGACCAAAATGGAATAATAAAAGAGAATTCTTCCTTTTGACCAAAATGACACAATAAAAGTGAATTGTTCCTTTTCACCAAAATAGAATAATAAAAGTGAATTCTTCCTTTTCACCAAAATGGAATAATAAAAGTAAATTCTTCATTTTGACCAAAATGTATTTAATGTTAACTTGCAGGAGTGAGCAGATCAGTAACCTGGTGAAACAAGTGAATGAAATCAAGATGGCTGTCAATGGTTGACAAGAAACAGGTTGTCAATGGTTGAAAAGAAATTGGCTGACAATGTAAACAATCCTACAATGGTTGGCTAAAGGGCAAGATGACAATTCCTTTGATGTTTCACAATACTGTAAAGACTCTCAAATGGAGCAATTCGCAAGTGGAACAATTTTTCCTGTTACCCATTGACTTCATAATGATTAATCTGTAAGTGGCACACCTTTGTGGTCCCAATGGCTTTCCACTCACACATTATTTACTTATTTACTGTATAAAGTATGTAAAAGTGTTGTCACAAGATTCCTGCAGTGGCAAAAACATGACCAAATAAGGAATCATTTTATGTTTAACAATATAAACAATCTTGCAATGTGGTGGATGTAGAATCCAGCAGTTAATGCCAAATGGACAATCGTGCAGTGATTTTTAAATCTGCTAAACAAGCAGCTCTGTGCGTCCAACATGAACAATTCTGCACATAACATGTACACACATTTTCCTAAAAATACATGTATACAAACTTTAAAAAAATGCCTCAGTTTGTATTAATCACACAATTATACAGAAATGGTTCTAAAAATTTTAATAGCCATAAATATTAATTTTTCATCATAGATATTTTGAGAAGAGAAAACAACATTTCAAAGAGAATGTTTGGCATGCTAATGACAGTTGATGACGGAATCTGGTTTAGCTGACTCAGATTGACTGACATGATGACATCATATGCAACACATAGATGTCAAACAACTCTGACATAAAGTATTCCCTTTGCAAATATTTCATTTCACTAATGATTTTATATCAATTTGTTTTATCAATTTATTTAATTATTTTGAAAAGCTTTTGGAAAAGTTGCTCATATCTATCCATGATTCTACTTAACAATTCATTATATTTTCCATTACATATTTTATCATTTAAAAAGCATTTCTAATTGTTATGCTATATAGATAGCTCTTCAGATATTCTTGTTTTATGGTTGATTTGGTTTTGTTAGTTTTGTTTTATGTTTTCTTGACAGTTGCTTGACTTGGTGGTGACAATGCGTTTGAAGTGTCATCAAGGTTTCAGTCACATGCAAACAATACAGCGTAAATTGCAGTTTACCTGTGCTTACTACAAACACATGTGTAGACAAATGACACGGAGACAATATCAGAATGTATAAAAGTCATTTCTAATTTACCCAGATAAATTAAATAATGTTAAAAATCTGAAATGTTACTTTTAAATGCTGCCATTGGCACAGTGTGGTCAATTCACTGTCAACCACAATTGTGACAGTATTTTATGAAATAATTTTGATTGCAATTTCGGGTAGCAAGACTGTGAATTTTTGGGCATTTGAAGTTTGAAATTCTAGATCTAAGGAGACTTTTGGTATACCCTGTATCTCTACATGTAAAGTGACTTCTAGAAACACCCTGTATATCAAGATCTAAGAGGACTTTTGGGATACCCTGTATTTGTAGATGTAAATCATGAAAACTTTTGGGCCAACCTGCATTTCTAGATCTAAGAGGACTTTTGGGATACCCTGTATTTGTAGATGTAAATCATCTAAACTTTTGGGCCAACCTGTATTTCTAGATCTAAAGGGACCTTTGGGATAACCTGTATTTGTAGATGTAAAGCATCTATGCTTTTGGGCCAACCTGTATTTCTAGATCTAAGAGGACTTTTGGGATACCCTGTATTTGTAGATGTAAATCATGTAAACTTTTGGGCCAACCTGTATTTCTAGATCTAAGAGGACTTTTGGGATACCCTGTATTTGTAGATGTAAATCATCTAAACTTTTGGGCCAACTTGTATTTCTAGATCTAAGGGGACTTTTGGGATACCCTGTATTTGTAGATGTAAATCATCTAAACTTTTGGGCCAACCTGTATTTCTAGATTTAAAGGGACCTTTGGGATACCCTGTATTTGTAGATGTAAATCATCTATGCTTTTGGGCCAACCTGTATTTCTAGATCAAAGAGGACTTTTGGGATACCCTGTATTTGTAGATGTAAATCATGTAAACTTTTGGGCCAACTTGCATTTCTAGATCTAAGAGGACTTTTGGGATACCCTGTATTTGTAGATGTAAATCATCTAAACTTTTGGGCCAACCTGTATTTCTAGATCTAAAGGGACCTTTGGGATAACCTGTATTTGTAGATGTAAATCATCTATGCTTTTGGGCCAACCTGTATTTCTAGATCTTAGAGGACTTTTGGGATACCCTGTATTTGTAGATGTAAATCATGTAAACTTTTGGGCCAACCTGTATTTCTAGATCTAAGAGGACTTTTGGGATACCCTGTATTTGTAGGTGTAAATCATGTAAACTTTTGGGCCAACCTGTATTTCTAGATCTAAGAGGACTTTTGGGATACCCTGTATTTGTAGATGTAAATCATGTAAACTTTTGGGCCAACCTGTCTTTCTAGATCTAAGAGGACTTTTGGGATACCCTGTATTTATAGATGTAAATCATCTAAACTTTTGGGCCAACCTGTATTTCTAGATCTAAGAGGACTTTTGATATACCCTTTATTTGTAGATGTAAATCATCTAAACCTTTGGGCCAACTTGTATTTCTAGATCTAAGAGGACTTTTGGGATACCCTGTATTTGTAGATGTAAATTAACTTTTGGGCCAACCTGTATTTCTAGATCTGAGGTGACAAAGTCTTTGAGCCATGAACTTTCTTGAAATTTCTAGTTAATTGGAGCATAAAATCCTGCAATATAAAGCCTTGGAATTATTCTAATGCTCATTATTAGTTTAAAGAGAACTCGTTCTAGCAGAATAATCCTGGAGATAAGAAACATATTTTATTCAATTCGTCAAATGGAATTGAAGCATAGGGGATATGAATCAGTAATGACGAGCTACATGATTTCCATGACAAAGGTGTCCTTTTTCTATAACTGCAATGTAGTTTCCCAATCGTCGCTTTCCACTGGGTCTAGAGGTAGGAACAATCGAAACCTTGTGAATCAAGATGTAGTTTCCCTATGTATGCTTCATTTTTATGTCACCACCAGAAGTGTTGACATAGTGTTAAAGTCTCCAACCTTTTTGTGGACGATATTTGGCAGTTGATGTTCAGTGGTCGGTGTCTGTAACAAATGGCAGGTGGTGACATCTTGCATGTTAATGCCTTGTATTAAGGTGTTATGACCCATGAATTTGTGGTATGAAAGTGGTCATAATTTGAGCTTTCTTCAGTGAACATGTCATTTAACAGTCTTGTAACACTTGTAACAACTGACCCATGAATTTGTGGTATGAAAGTGGTCACACTTTGAGCTTTCTTCAGTGAATTTATGGTATGAAAGTGGTCATACTTTGAGCTTTCTTCAGTGAACATGTTATTTAACAGTCTTGTAACTTGTAACAACTGACTGATGCAACCTAGAGTGTTGTTTTACTCCATTGACAAAGAAATTCCATTAGTGTTTGTGAAGGAGACAGTCGTACAGTAAAATCTCTAAAGTGGAACACCTCTGGAAGTAAAACACCTCCATAAGTAGGACACTTTAGATTACCATGATCAGATGAATTCATGTGTTGAACACTTCTCAACGATTAACTTAAGTTTTTACGTGGAAAGTAGAACAACCTCCCATTTTAGAGGTATCAAAAAGGTTTTGTACTATAGTTGATTAGGAAATGAAAACTTATCATTCTTATACTATTTTGTGAGAATTCATGTGAATTGAACATCTAAAAGTTAAACACTTCTCAAGTGGAACATTTCTGATTGACTTCAGTTTTTACCTCGAAAAGTAGAACAACTTCCCATTTTAGAGGTACCAAAGGTGTTCAACTGACACAGATTTTACTGCAGTTAATTAGAAAATGAAAATTTATTATTCTTAAATACTATTTTGTAAGAATTCATGGAGATTGTATATCAACAAAAAAGCAACAAGAAATATAGTTTTGTAAGAAAATGTGTACTGTCTTATGTATTTAGATTGATGTCAGTAAAAAGGGTGTGTGTTTGGAGTGGGCAGGGTGGGAATGAGGGTATGTGTTTGGAGTGGGCAGGGTGGGAGTGAGGGTATGTGTTTGGAGTGGACAGGGTGGGAGTGCTGGTATGTGTTTTGAGTGGGCAGGGTGGGAGTGAGGATATGTGTTCTGAGTGGGCAGGATGGGAGTGAGGGTATGTGTTTGGAGTGGGCAGGGTGTGAGTGAGGGTATGTGTTTGGAGTGGGCAGGGTGTGAGTGAGGGTATGTGTTTGGAGTGGGCAGGATTGGAGTGAGGGTATGTGTTTGGGGTGGGCAGGGTGGGAGTGAGGGTATGTGTTTGGAGTGGGCAGGGTGGGAGTGAGGGTATGTGTTTGGAGTGGGCAGGATGGGAGTGAGGGTATGTGTTTGGAGTGGGCAGGGTGGGGGTGAGGGTATGTGTTTGAATTGGGCAGGATGTTAGTGAGGGTATGTGTTTCGAGTGGGCAGGATGGGAGTGAGGGTATGTGTTTGGAGTGGGCAGGGTGGGAGTGAGGGTATGTGTTTGAATTGGGCAGGACGTTAGTGAGGGTATGTGTTTGGAGTGGGTAGGATGGGAGTGAGGGTATGTGTTTGGAGTGGGCAGGATGGGAGTGAGGGTATGTGTTTGGAGTGGGTAGGGTGGGAGTGAGGGTATGTGTTTGAAGTGGGCAGGGTGGGAGTGAGGGTATGTGTTTGGAATGGGCAGGATGGGAGTGAGGGTGTGTGTTTGGAGTGGGCAGGGTATGAGTGAGGGTATGTGTTTGAAGTGGGCAGGATGGGAGTGAGGGTATGTGTTTGAAGTGGGTAGGGTGGTAGTGAGGGTATGTGTTTGGAGTGATTAGGGTGGGAGTGAGGTATGTGTTTGGAGTGGGTAGGGTGGGAGTTAGGGTATGTGTTTTGAGTGGGCAGGATGGGAGTGAGGGTATGTGCTTGGCGTGGGCAGGATGGGAGTGAGAGTATGTGTTTGGAGTGGGCAGGATGGGAGGGAGGGTATGTGTTTGAATTGGGCAGGATGGGAGTGAGTGTTTGGAGCGGGCAGGGTGAGAGTGAGGGTATGTGTTTGGAGTGGGCAGGGTGTGAGTGAGGGTATGTGTTTGGAGTGGGCAGGATTGGAGTGAGGGTATGTGTTTGGAGTGGGTAGGATGGGAGTGAGGGTATGTGTTTGGAGTGGGCAGGATGGGAGTGAGGGTTTGTGTTTGGAGTGGGCAGGGTGGGAGTGAGGGTATGTGTTTGGAGTGGGCAGAGTGGGAGTGAGGGTTTGTGTTTGGAGTGGGCAGGGTGGGAGTGAGGGTATGTGTTTGGAGTGGGCAGAGTAAAGGATTTTGAACATGTGGATACCATGCATACCTGAGGTTATTATCTCCTGTTTTAATTCTCTTTGAAAAAAAATTCTCATTTAAAGTTTAGGCTATTATTTCCCAAAAGGTTCTTTTCTCCTATTTCTCCAAACGTATGTTGTTTACATTATGTGATGGTTGACAGGTATGCCTATGCTTCACACTCAAGTAAAATCAAGTACAATACCAGGGACTTCGTGACCTTGATAAGCGTAAAAATGTATGTTTCCCTCGCATAAAGTGCAAGCTTGCTTTTATTCAACAATTTTCACATTTTATGTCATCACCAGAAGTGATGACATATTGTTAGTCTTAAACTTTGTTATGAATGGTGTTTGACATCTATAACAAATTGGCATGAGGGATCTGTAATAAATTGGCATGAGGGATCTGTAATAAATTGGCATGAGGGATCTGTAATAAATTGGCATGAGGGATCTGTAATAAATTGGCATGAGGGATCTGTAATAAATTGGTGATGGCATTGTGCATGCAAATGCCTTGTTATGCAACCACCAGGAGTTATTGACGCCAACCTTTTGGTTGACGGTAATTGTCGTTCAGCATCTGTAACAAATTGACGTTCTGCGTCTGCAACAAATTGGCAGTCGGCGTTCGTCGTCTGCAACAAATCGGTGATAACATTTTGCTTATCTAATGTCTTTTATTAAAGGGTTCCGATTAGCATCCCGTATAAAAATAATATGGCGGCTCCAGGCGAATCAACTGGATCAGTCCATTTTTAAGAAATAAGGGGAGTTCTGTAAAATCCAGTTTATTGAAATTGTCTTTGAGATAAAGTAATCCGTTTATAATGATTTTGAAAACGTTATCCAAAGAGTGATTGCGTTCAAATAATACATGTACAACACCCAATATAAATTCTTGTATTAGAAACCGGTTTGTCTTGCTTTGTTCATTTTTAGGATATTTCATATGCCAAGCTGTGTGCTATTACGTTATGGGGAAATTTAGATGCCAATTTTTCCTTATTATACACAAATAGAAGATCCTGAAACTTCACCCATAAATGTGGAATTGATTTGTCAAAATAAAAATCACCCTTTTATAAATGTGTGACGATCTATAATATACTTATGCCATATAACAGTTAGAGGTGTTGACAAAACGACCTCGAACCTGTGAACCCTTGAGTATTATTCCGGGATCGGGCCTTTTATACTAAACGGTGAGCAACACCAGAAACGAGCGTTCGATTTGCTAAACGATATGCGTCACCCTTTAAGTCGAGGAATGTAATTCGATCTTTCTCAACATCTGAATGTGAATCGTCTTAATTCAAATTATATTCTTTATCAGAGTTAAAAAGTATAAGGTGTATATTGAAAAAACTTCACGTTTCTAAACGTCTTGTAAGGAATTCTTGAAATTGTAACTTTGAGATGGAATATTATTTGCATTAACCGTAATTGTTTACATAAAATGCGTTCATACAAACATTAATTAAAGGACTAAGAATGGGAAATAAACATTAATTGTTTGTATAGATATATAGACAATACAGATTGTTTAATAGCATGAGTGCTTTTTTGTACTTATAATACGATAATTGAGTTTTTTCTTTTCTTAATCAGATAGCAATTTGAAATGCTGTGCTTGAATGAACTAAATAAGTTGTTTAATGCAGCACATAACATTGTTTTCCCACCCACTAACACACATTATCTGCATTAAATCACATCTTTTTCAAATATCTTTTGTTCATCATATAGATTAGTTTTGAGTATCTTCCCATCCTTGGTCTAAGGGGTATTTCACTTCTTTCCTGAATTGAGTAATAAATGAAGTCCTTTGAATGAAGGATGGTATGTTCCTTTCTTTTATTTAGTATCTTACTGGTATACTCTTTTATTTTTACATGGGCAACGTTCAGAGCTGAATTAGCACACATGCCAATGACTGTGAACGTTTGATTTCATATATAGTCATTGTGGATTCCAATGACTGTCCACTCCACTTCATACATATAGTCATAATGGATAAGAACAAGTCATGCCACTATAGTCATGATGGATAACATGACTGTCAACTCTATATATAGTTATTATGGAGAACCATGACTGTCAACTCCTCTTCATGAAGAGTCATAATTGATAACCATTAATGTCCGTTCCACTTCATACATAGTATAGTCATAATGGATAACAATGACTGTCCATTCCACTCCATAGTAGCCTGGCCAGAACAAGTCATGCCACTATAGTCATAGTGGATCACAATGATTGTCAACTCTAAATATAGTTATTATGGAGAACCATGACTGTCAACTCCTCTTCATGAAGAGTCATAATTGATAACCATTACTGTCCGTTCCACTTCATACATAGTATAGTCATAATGGATAACAATGACTGTCAACTCCGCTTAGTCATGACTGTCAACTCTGTTGGACCTGTATGTAATCTGAGAGTATACTAGTAGTCCATCCAGAAAATAGTCAATTGTTCCAAGTTACACCTTCTGACTTGTGAAAAAGTATACAAGCTCATGCAAACGATAGCCTTGGTCTTATTGTTTTCTGTCACTATATATTAATAATTAAGATCATAAAAATAAAAAATAAATTCAATTTATTGCATCCAGATGTGATATCAAAGTTGATTGAGATTATGTGACTTGTGAGATCGCAATAATCAGCCGTTTGAACATCGCTCCCATCATCTCCCAAAAAGTCCATTCTTTGAATTCTGGGTAATTTCCTCGTGTTTGTAAAATGAATAACTTAATAGTACTATGTATAAAGACAATATGAGATTGAGATATCTCAAACTTGAGAAAATACACGCTTAATTGAATGCTGATTTTTTCATGGGATCAACGGTGTGATATTAAAACGGCAAATCTGTTTTTTTCTAATTAATCCACGCCTGCCTTCTGGGGGATGGAACATTGATGACAGTAGATAAATATCAACTTGACGCACAAACGATTTATATTATGCTGCAAAAATGAATTTATCACAGACGTAATATTACATGACATAACTCATTAAACTGTAATCGGATCAACTTTAAACTTAACATCATATTTTAGGTCACGATCATTGAAATCACTCTTATCGTAACCAGATATAACAATGGTTGCTTTTAACTCAGGAAACGCATTTTCACATTTCTGGACGATGTCTGGACTGTTGATTCTATGTGGATTATTCAACTTAGGGATTGCACAACCTAGTTTCTTTAAACCAGACGAATCTGAAGGGTTACTGCCAACAAATAGAGGAGGTAGGTATTTTTGATCAACCTTCGACGTTTACTGTTTACATATCAGGGGTGGGGGGTGGGGGGGGGGTCTGTACGTTTTACTTGCGAACGTGTAATATTATGACCCAAAGGAATTAAGTATAATACTGTCACAAATATGAACTGGTATTTGTAATAATAACCTTCAGGTGAGCTCTAGTGTCTACCCGAGTATCTGTCTCGTTGCACTACAGATTCTCGGACGAACGTGCCCAGGGGTCGTTACATGTACAATATCTGTTATTGAGAAGGTATTTATTCCAATGGATCTAATAAGGATCCAGGGGACAATATGATATTTTCCAATGGAAAAGTGGGTAACTTTCCAACTGTTTCATTTATATTATCAACATACGCAATACGAACTCATCTAACAGGCAAAGTAAGCTTTGGCAAAGGGCCTCTGGATGAATTGATCAAAACGGTTCAAGAAAAATTCATGTTATGTACCAAAAATGAACAGAATGTCGTCTGCAAAGTCGTTATGGAAATGGGGATTCTGGAGAATTGATCAAAATGTTTCAAGGGAAAATTCACGGCAGGGGCGTAGCCAGCTTTCAGTCAGGGGGGTTGCGATTTTCAAAATAATTTCGTTTTTCAGTTAGGGCAAAAGCATAATCGATCGTAGCATTAGCAAGCCATAAAAGATATGTTTTGAATTTTACAAAAAATTATGCAACTAAAAAGCATTCTAAGCTCTTTTTCTTCTTCTTATTGCGTATTGGGGAGGGTACGCCTATGCACGTTATGCACCAAAATATGAACAGAATATCGTTTGCAAATGCATTCTGGAAAAGAGACATCCTGGTTAATTGTTCAGAATGGTTCAAGGGAAAATCTACGTTATGCGCCAAAATATGAACAGAGTACCCAACCAGGTTCAGTAACTGCGTCAAAATGCACAATTCGTATGTGCATCATTATTTACTGAAATTAACCATTTTTCAAAATCATTTGCAAGTTCTCAGAAGTTCAAATCTGACTATAGATTTGAGGTATACCCTTCAATGACCTTCTTAAGGTCAAAAAGGTTTTGACCTTCAACGACCTTCTCAAGGTCAGAAAAGGTATATTTTCAACTTGCTTCAAGTTTAAGATTTGACCTTCAATGACCTTCTAAGATAAAAAAGGTTTAAAAGGTCAAAAAGGTCTATTCTCAACTTACTTCAAAAATTTTTCAAAATCATCTACAAATTCTCAGAAGTAAATGAGATTTGACCTTTGATGACCTTATCAAGGTCAAAAAAGATTCATAATATTATGATTAAATAGGTGGGGTCCTCTTTCCGGGGAACCAAGTACGTTTCTCAAATTATTGCAATAAAAAACAAACAAAAAACTAGGTGGTGATTGGCTGTTGCAAATTGGTGAAGCAATCCTGAACGATATGGTTTAAATTTCTGAATTTCCGCGTGTGGCTGTATACCCATCAAATGGTATATGTTATTTCCCTTTTTTTATCATCAATCAATCCCGATATGGTAATCAAAAACAATCACAAATGTATTTTTCTTGTTTATATTAAGAATGAACTTACTATTTTTGAATACTAACAGATGATGCTGCATTTATTTTTTCATGATATGAAACACAAGCGAGTCAGTTTTACTGTAATCTCCAACACGCTTATATTTTAAGGGTATTTTTAAAGAATAATCAAGAAAATCCATATTTCCAAATGCATTCCTTCGTGTCAAAGAACGTGAATGAGGATATCATGTGTTTTGTAGGTAACTAGTAATACGTTTTAAATTCTTGGTTGAAGCAAATATTTTGAAAGTTCTCATTTCGAATATGATCTCTAACTCAATGAAAAGTGTTGGTAAATATAAAGTTTTCGTAAGACATACACATTGCTGGATCTCAGGAGCTTGCCGTTGTTCGAGATGCTCGAAAAGTGTAATTTAAATACTTGGTGTCGTTCAGTTATTTTGGTGTGAGGCGTTTTCGGTCAAAGCCAAATTTTGTACCCCACCCCCTCCCCCGTTTAGCTCAGATTATGAATATAAGATATTACTATGACTGAAACTAGAAAAAACATAAAGAGACAAACGTTATTAAAATTATCACGATGCACACTACAATGACTATGTGGGAAATGCGATAAGTCACATAAAATCAATTACCGTCAATCAATCAATCAAAAAATGATTTGATTTAATTTAATTACAATTAAATATCGATCCAATAATCGTGTCAGATTATAACTACTATTACAAGCGAAAAAGGAATATATGGATGAGTGGCCTACACGTGCATTAACAGCATTGCATTATAATTGTTTTTATAATTCAATAAACAAATAAAAAGATGCGGATGAGATTGGAGCATTGCATCATGAGAAACTGAGAAAAAATAAATTTAGTTCCGCATATATTCATAATATCGCCCACTCTCCAATATCACTCAAGAAAACTAAGAAACGATACAGATAAAAGTCTTAAAGAATCATTTTACAATAGAAGTGATAATATTATCTTGGAGATCCCCTGTCATGAATTAAATTTAATGCTTCGTTATCATTTTCGCAATCAAAGGCAATGCATGGAAATGTAGAAATCTTTCCGTCGTTGTATTCAGTATTCACAGCTTCTATATATAAACATTTCTTAAGTTTATAGGTGAAGATTCCATTCGTTATCTCAAGAGGAAGAAGTGTCCCATAATTCATAAAGAAACCTATCTCCATATAAAGATGGCGCTCTAGAGGGGCATCCTTATATGGAGATACTGTAGGTTCATCTATTATTTTTTGTCTTCTCCATTTTCTTTAAAATTGCAATCATCAATCATTGGATCGGCTTGACCAATTATATGGAAAAGCTCAACACTGTTTACGGTATTGACGGGTAGTTTCATTATTTTATGTGCATAAAAGTTTACATTGAATAATTGGAACAATAATGATGTTGTAAAATTGTGACAGTATCTTCGAAACTAAATCTTAACTCGTCCGTGGTCTTTCGTACCTGGTTGCCCCTTTAATTACATTATCGCACAATCATGCAATTAACTATTTGCAATATAGACATAGTTTTGAAAACTCGCCGAAGTCTAATCTAAGATTAAGTCTAATCTCTTAAAGTCTGTGCATAATTTTCTGTTAATATGAGTACTTGGTTGTATGAGTAATAATAGCCAAGGGCCTTGACCCGAGGCTATTCGTTCTCATAAAACCTATTACGAATGGTTTATCTAACTTAAACCCCACATTGACTCTTATGAAAGGTAAATGGTCCGTGATCCAATTTTAGGAAAGTTTGATTTCTTTTGTATTGACTATAAGGTAAGTGTGTTAAGAATTGGTTTGTAATTAGTTCAGCTTCAGCGCCCTGCATATAACAGGCTAGCTGATGTTTATCATTTATTTTGTGTTTCTATTCAATTATTGAATGGATGAATAGAGTGTAAGTGTCAATTCATTAAAAACAATAGAAAAAGAATGCACTTTTCATTGTTACAACTGTACATTCTTTATAATTAACTACAGTTCGCTCTATTGTGTTGCTACGGTGCCTAAGTGAGGTTTAAACTAGTAGGCCTTTGATTTCACAGATACATTATGTTATTCGAATTCTCAAGGAATCTCGCCCTACCAACACACGTCTTGCCATCTATTTATCCAAAAAGAAAGCAAATCATCAATTGATGTGTTTGTGACCGTTCTCGCATCAGAGTGCAGTTATTATAATGTTAATATATAGTTATTATGTTATTGTAATAATCTTTTGTTTTTGATAATATGTTATTGATAATTTTATTTATTCATCAATTATTACAAACCTGATTTAATTACTCACGGAGGGAGGTGGGTGGCATTCTCTAACGACAGATAATCGTCATGACGATGTAGCAACTAATATACAAATAAAATTATAAAACAACAAACAATACATTTATGGAATTTGAGTGAGAAATTCTTGGCTGCTGCCTAGCTGCGGTCTCAATTAAAACACCTCGCCTTGTTTTTTACAATAGAATTCTCCTATTGTCACAACCTGAGATAAAATATAAATCAATCATTATCGCGAACATTAAATTGCAAGTTTGTATCCAAGGAAACCACTGGCGGATTAGGGGGGGGGGGGCTTTTTTTTGTATTAAATGTATGTAATATTACTCCTGAATAAACAAAGAAACCAAGTCCGAACGTTCAATTTCGTCAAATTTGCCGTTCATCGCGTATCGGTGTCACGATATCTCGAAAACCGTGTTTCGGATTGTTCATACGAGTCAAGTAACGTGTATGACAGTACCAATTGTGCTTTAAAAAACTCCAACATATGTTGACACGTTGAAGTCATTAATTCTCATTAATTCAATCAGGGGGATTACCGTTGTCAAGTTGTGCGTTCCGTAAACCCGCGAGTCGGCATAACTTATTTCTTCCGGAATGAATGAATGGATGATTGAATGAAATAATGAATGAATTGTTGGAGAACGAGGCGTTGGTTATTTCCTTTACATATGAAAGAGATGCATTGTATTTATTATCCGGGTATAGATAAATATTATCAGTAAGCCTCATTTCCGACTCTCCTTTCAAGAGTACATTTGAAAGCAAAATGACAGCCGCGAGACAGAATACACATATTGTGTGTATTTAATCACTTTCTACTGTCTAGGGTTCTTGATTAATGCCCTACCTTGTTAATTTACCAACTCTTGTATTTAACAATGTTAATGAGTAAATAGAACAAAAAGGTGCGATATTTACACAGAATATCTAAATGTCCTGTTAATTCGTCCAGTGCAATCGTGCATTCTTAGATAATAAGAAGCAGAATGAGGATGGAAATGTGGCGAAAAATGTCAACTCTCGAATTTGACCTTGACCTTAAACTCACATCCCAGAAACACTAGTCTGTTTTCATACTTTACTTAAAATAGTAAAATGATAAATCTTAACTTGACTTGTATTTCTAGTCTGTATGGACGCCATGTTGGTCTTTGATACGTCATGTTCCATAACCATGGCTACAAGACGCCAAGCGATAGAGTTTTCCAAGAAGGTGATGTCTTTAATCCCCATGGCGGTAAGTCCTTTAGAGGTCAGTACCATCACAAATGAATACGGGCCAAAGTCAATATACCGATGTGCGATCAGATGGCAGATCCCTCTCTTGGGTGTGTGTGTGGGGGGGGGGGAGGTTTTCTAAAATGAACAACACCGAAATATTGACCTTGTCCTTTTTTCAATGCATACATTTGTTTCTGATTCTTATTTACGTGTTGATTACTCTTATATAGATGGCAGATGATATCAATGCAATATAGTTAAACATGTAAAAAGGAGGATATTACCCAAGATTCAAATATATCTATATTTATGTAAAGCTCTAGGTTCATTTACACACTGATATTTGTCCATCATTGCATTCTGGGATATCCCCTCTCCAAAAAGCGCATTTAGTTCAATGCTGCAATAATTTGAGAAGAGTCCTCTCATAAATACGATTTGTTATATATTTTATATGCATTTTTGAACGATACTATTTCTGCACAAGAAAAATATGCGAATGCATAATCTGCATTTCATCTCATCGTCAAAATGAAAATATTTGAAAGAACAACAACCTACATTGAAGTAAGGGATACTGTTTACCAAGCGTGTAAATGGTCTTATAAAAGTACACCCCTCTCCTACTACGTCTATTTTGTTTCAGACAATAATGGGCACATCGTTTGTGTTTTGTGGGGCAGTGACATTTGATAGCGAACTACGTCACGAATTCTACATGAATTCTGTTAAGTCAAAAGAGCAACTATTCATCAATTTAGATAACATCAACGTCACCAGTAACGGATGCAAGTCCAAAACATACAAGGCTTTGAAATGGCTACCTAAACAGTATTTTACTCGCAGTAGGGGCGACAGGGACGATTTCTTGTTTCCCGATTTGGTGATTATATTTACGGATGATCGAACAATTCCGGGTTCTCTCGGCCGAATCAAGCAGACACGTGACCAAGTGGAAGACTTTATCGAGAATGATACAAAGGTTTTCTTGGTCTTGGAACCAAATAGGTAAGTTAAGAATAACTGCATGTAGTTTCTATTTCGGGAGAATCTGTGGACACGGACGTAGCCACGCATGGGACAAACGCGTCAAATCGACAAAATGTTACAGAAAAAAATCCAGTCATACACAAATGAAGACCCATTGGAGGTTTGAACCTGTTGGCATTCATATTTGCCTCGCCTGTCTGAAATCTTTTTGTCCATCACTGAATAATAGAAATGAGTATCGTTTGTTTGAAGTTTTTTTAACTCAGTGTTTAATAAGGTTCATCTCCAACTTGTGTTTTTATTTCTTCATGAATATTTGCATTAATTCTGATTTCATAATCACAATATTCTTTCAAAAATTTTAAAGCTGTACATTTTATGCTGTATTTCATATTTATAGCCGCGAAAGGGATCCATATACTATAGTTGACGTTCTAGATGACGATAGCATATTCGAACTTGACGATCCCGATGCCCCTCGCAGAATGGCAGAAAAAATGGTATCTTCCTACCCATGTGGCTTGCCACGACCTCCTGTACTCAACGACGACGTTGGAAGAGGTAAACAGATATGCCTTGTGGCAAGAAATTTTCTCAGTTAAAAGCGAGTGCCTACATAAAATAAGTAGCATTTGAAATGGTGTACACCAAGGTTCTATTTAATGACCCATTCTATTTTTAGTCATATTAACAGGGTGTGCCGAAAATGTTACCCTTATTATAGTAGTATTTATTCAAAATGGGTAAATATTTTTTGCCCACCCTGTATACTAATTATCTGTTATCAGTATTCAAAAGAACAAAAACATTATCGTTGCAAGAAAACCAAGCATTAGAAATAGAAGAATATATGAGAAAATTAATACTAGTTGATGTTTTCCTTCAGGATGTGTTGATTTGGTCTTTGCATTTGACATTGGATGTAGTCATCTGCCCGAGTTGTCAAAGCTAAGTAAAGATGTCGCCACTAAGATCATAACAGAGCTGAGTTCGTTTTCGATGGACTACCGAATCGCAGCTGTTACATTTGCTGCGCGTCCAAAAGATGAATTTGTGTTCCAATTTGACCCTATTGATGCCGAAAAAATCAATGAGAACTTGCGTAAAATAGATACATCTTCACCGGTCTGTCGAAGTGCTACGCATCGTATGCTTCAACATGTGAGAAACACTCACTTCAGTGATATCAATGAAATAAACTACAGAAAAGCAGTCAATCAGAAAGCCTTAGTTATATTTTACGATGGTTTAACATCGCCCGCACGTGCCTACGAAAGGACAATACGAGAGGCACAAGAGCTTCTAAATCAAGATGTTGACATATTCGTTGTCAAGCTTGATAATAATCGTAATAAAGATGGCAGTATCGAGTTTAAAAATATCGTTGCTGGGGAGGAGTATTTGTTTCCGCGCAATGGTTTCCTGGATAGCGGTAATGTGGAAGAAGTTGCACAGGGTATAGCGGAGAGATTTGGAGGATATATTTGCAAACCTAGTGAAGAAGAACTCGGCTTGGTTGTTCCAGGGTAGACTCACTGTCTAAATGTCCATAAGTGTGAATGTCCAGTGACCACGTGGATTAAATTCTGGACTCTATTGAATGACCATCCTTTCCAAAGATAACTCTATATATTACGACTTTGGCTCGTACTATTTATTTGTCACCGGGCTTTTTCATTTTTACTATAGTTCTCAAATAATACGTGTTCAAAGAATACGTGGAAAATGACGAACGAAACATTGCTATATAATAAGCATCCCGAGATGCTTTGCATGCGAGTGAAGATCGATATGTAAACATAAACCCCACATGCCTTCTTTCATTATTTTCTTGTAAGACGTTTTTTTATTAAATAAGGCTGACATCAAAATGTTCATAATAGCTCCAATCTACCCCAGTGCCAGGCATAGGTGATACACTCATTTACGATATAAATCATATTATACTTTTACCACTTTCGCTCTCTCAAGTTGAGAATATTTATTATTTGTGTACATGTTTTGAAAACAACTGTGTCAGACCCATATCTTAATATTTATTGTATAAAGGTTGGGTTCATTTTTGTTGTTGTTTGTAGTGCAAATATAATGTTATGAATGGTATATCTCTGTTGATGAACGTATCTCAAAAGGCATTCCTCAAAAGGTAATGGGTAAACTGAACAACATACAGGTATTGGACTGTCGTGGCCTGTTCTAATTGATCACGATATGGATTATAATACACGTAGATTCAGTTTTAAATGGTTTTGTTCCCAGCAAAATAGGCCCCCTCGCCTTTGATATATTTAGGGTTGTAAGACACAAGCACGCCCTTCTTAGTTTATCCTCAATGAGGACCAGTAATTACCATAATGAAGGAGTACAATCCCCGTATAATCCCCCGTCTTTAACAGATCCTAATGAAAAACGGTCCCCTTTACATATGGCCCGAGTGGGTCTTAATCGAGGATACTAAAAGAGATTTGATGTGATTAGTTATCGAATGAACCCGATTATAGGTACAATAAACCAGATGTATATCACTTCTGTATCAAGATTGAATTATTGTCGATATTCAATTACAATAAATCGAAACAATATTTGTGTTTTGTTCTGTTTAGTGAGATAGTTTGTTGTCACGATAAGATAGCCACATATACGTAGCCCCATATAAGGTAGCAATAAATACGTAGCCACATATTACAACCATATATAAAGTATCCACATATTATAACCACATATAAGGTAGCCACAGATATGTAGTCATATATGATAATCACATATAAGGTAGCCGCAAATATGTAGCCACACATAACCACATATAAGGTAGCCACAACTATCTAGCCACATATTATACCCACTTATAAGATGACCACATGTATGTAGCCACATATTATAACTACATATAAGGTGTAGCCGCATATCATAACCACATATAAGGTAGCAACAAATATGTAGCCATACGTCATAATCACATATAAGGTAGCCACAAATGTCTATATAAAACAACAAATATGTATATATGACGTGCACGGACCTGGGGACAATTCGGGAAATGCGGGCTTATCTCAGCTTTGAACGTTAATCTCTGCCTTATTTAAAAATCCAACTATGTTTTTTACATATCATTCTGAAGTATTTTTTATTCGCATTTCAATGAAATTATTTTTCTTTCAAAATTTTGATGGGATCCAACACATTTTTAAAGTTAAATATACTCCGACATCGTCAAATACGCTGTAAGACGTAACACTTTACGCTTACAGGGCTAGTTGAAATTGAGATAACTTTTGAAATAATGATCAAAATCCCACTTAAATTTCACAATTTATTCAATGGAACATTTGCATTTATGACGTCACAGTTGCTTAACGGCTACATTTCAAATTATCTTATACGAACGCTTTTAAAATTTTCAAAATTGTGTAAGGTTTTGAAGGCGAATGGGACGAGCAATAAGTTTACCTTCATTTAACCTTCTAATTTAGGTCTGATTTGAAAGAAAATTTAACTGCACAATATTGTCATGGCGAAATTTACAAAACAATAACCGGTTTGTTTATTCTGCAAATAATATCAAAATAAGAGCTGGTTTTCAAGACTTGAAAAAATGTGACGCATCGATTTTTTACCACAAATTCCATACATATCAATTTTTACTAACGCCCCAAGTGGATTTCTTGACCGTTTTTCAAAATTCAAAAACATTTTAGAAATATTGTCGTCGAGATCTTGCTACCCTGTAAATTTTGTAATGATTAGATAAGGATAAAGTATTTTATTTTTAGGTTGACTAAACTTGTAAAAAATGTGACGCTTGTCGTTTTTGACGTTGTAAGGCTGTTTGCGCCCTATACTGCTCATTGTTTTGTTTTGTTTTTTGACGCCATAATGTTACGCTAATTGTCCCCAGTTTCGTGCGACGTGTAATAGTTTTTTTTCAACGAGCTCCAAATTGACTAATTTTCTTTTTCGAAATCATCTGTTCTCAATAGTTCAAGTCTGACTTTAAATTTGAATTTTGACCTAATGACCTCAAGGTCGAAAAAGGTATTTTTTCAACTTGTTTCAAAACTAATTTGTTTTCAAAATCATCTGCAAGTTCTCCGAAATTCAAATCTGATTTTTAAATTTAAAACTTGACGTTCAATGACCTTTTCAAGATAAAGAAGGTCAAAAAGGTATTTTTCAACTTTGCCTCAAATTGACCAACTTTTTCAAAATCATTTTCAAGTTCTCAGAAATTCAAATTGAACTCATAATATTGTGAGCAACTAGGTGGTGACATTTTGTCATGTTATGCCTTGTCGTTCTTGTGTTTAATGCAAAAATCTATTTATCCCCGGTACCCTATGTGTACTCGTGGGTGCCAAATATATACCAAGAACATAATAATAGAGATATTGAGAACTTTGAGTTAGATATCATAACAAAGAGAATCCGCGTCGATATTGTAGATCTAGGACATGAGTACATTCTTAGGGTGGCTACTGTTTCTTAAGACTGATAAGTTTGATTGCTGTCAAGTGCCATATCATTTTGATTAGATACCTCGGTCAGCCAATTGACATGCACTCGATCATCACTATCACGTTCAATTCACTTTCAATACACAAGTCCAATCCGTCATCGAGGACATCATATATAGTCGTTCAATTTGAACAGTTTTTGAGACTAGATTTTGTCTGTCTAACATCACTTGAGACTGAGTGATATACTTGTGTTCATACTAATACTCGTATAATATCTACAACTATTTTGGTATCAAGAGTTTTCGAATCTTTCTTGGTTTGCTTTTAACATGTATTGTATAGCTTAGCTTCATTAAGTATATGTGTTCCAAGAGTTTCCGAATCTTTCTTGGTTTGAATTTCAACATGTATTGTATAGCTTAGCTTCATCAAGTATATGTGTTCCAAGAGTTTCCGAATCTTTCTTGGTTTGGTTTTAACATGTATTGTATAGCTTAGTTTCATTAAGTATATGTGTTCCAAGAGTTTCCGAATCTTTCTTGGTTTCCTTTTAACATGTATTGTACAGTTGTATAATTTAGCTTCATGAAGTATATGTTTGTTCCATGGTTCAACGTTTTTGCATATTTCAGGTTTTGATTTTTTTCGCGCACTTGTATTTAACAGTTCTATACTTTTGGTATAACAGATTTATGACGAAACACAAAATAATCTGATTCAATGTTACTGAGATTAATGACATTTCATTTGTGATGTGGATAAAAATATAAAATTGTTGAAACTCGATCTCAAGTACGAGAAATGTTTCATATTATTTAGTATTCTGAAAGCGAAGTGTCTTTTGAAGATCGTATTGGTCATCAAAAGATTAAACCCAACCCAGGGCTCGATGAATCGTGGCCGACTTTAAGTGTTTTGTGTACTAGAAATACGAAACTTGTCTCTGCTATGATTTTGAACTAGGACTGGCTTTTAATTTAGTCTCTGACTGTACTCTAAGTGATGGAAACTTGTATGTTTATGACATCCACATAATATTATACATCTTTGGAATATCCCCGAGAAATATTTTAGATCTTTGCTTTATCTTTCAATAACAAAATATATAGAATCAAAATACTGTCGGATCAGCGTCCATATTTTCCTGTCCTAAATGCCACCCAATAAACAACAGTTATTGACATGATAGTGGCACTCATTGACGTGAGCTGAGCAGATACATCATTATTCGACCATTATTCATCCTATTTACAACCGCGATGTCATTGAAAGTTACTCTATATACTACGATTTAAAGAGAGAATCGGATCTCGCGAGCAGACCAAACAAAACATTGTTTCAATTCTAGAATAGGCCTATTTTTGGCTCAAATCATTCCTTCAAGTCTATTTTCTAAAAATCACCAAAGTGCGTAATTTTATGGTTACCGTGTTTAGGGAGAATTAAAACATCATTCACTCATTTTTTCACTTTGAGTCCTTAATCACTTTACCAATTTATAATTACAACATATCGTGAATATTTTGCGCGATGTTGTATTTGAAATAGTAAATATAAGAAAAAAATCGGTTGGTCACATATTGCTTGTAATTTTGTCATCCCATCCCCTATATATACTAGATATAGTATCTGATTCTGCCTTTAAGTTTTGTTTGATTTTGTTTGTTTTTGCTGTTTGCCAGAATAGTCTAAGACCATTGAAACTAAACAATATATATAGGTCTACAATTTGAAAATTCTACCCAAACTAGTCTTGTATAGAACTGTCACTGGTTTTTGTCATTTTGACATTTCATTATATTCGTTATTTATTTGTAGCATTCTTACGTACGATAACATTTTCGAATTAGCTTAGAATCAAGTGAAGCTACAGCCAAAGTCGAACCTTAAGTCAATCTATATAAATCGTTTATCTCCTTTTCAGCGTATACACCCATTCAAATGATTCAGCCCATTACAGTCATTTCCAAATAATCCAAACTAAATGTCACACTTTCTTGCAATTTAATAATTCTATAAGCGTTCGCTATTTTCAGAGTTACTCCATCCTTCGCAGATTTCGTGGATTTTGGTCTCTTTTGCGAAGAAACGCGCAAATGCGGGTAATTTATTCCGCGGGTAAATCTTCTTCAGAATGAGTCCTACTATCTAATAAGTGAACTATTCATCAAGAATTCTAATATAAATTAAAAATCAAGAGTTACAACACTTAATCATTTATTTTTTAGAAAGTAAATCAAAAATATCTAAGGTCTTAGGAGTGTTAAAAGGGCATCGAAAGCAACACAAGTGCCTATGCTCATCAAAATATAATAATTCATATAACTAGATTATTAAATATGAATAAATTCAAGAAAAGAGAGAAGCAGACTAAAAAGTTGATAAAAGCAGGGGTATTAGGGACATTTGCACTAGTGTTTCTCGCGATTGTGTATATTCTAAAGAAAGCACCGTTGCCCATTGATGACTATGAACAAAGTGTTGGCTCCAAAGCTGCTAACCATGGCTACGGATACTCAAGGAATCTTCTCAATGAAAACGCTGAGGTAAGTTACAATAAATATTCCAAAACATCAACGCAGTCACTTATTATTCAAAATTTTGTCAAAGTGATATCATATTTGATCATCAATCATCAATCTACATATAAATTACATCCAGAAATGAGGTTTTAGAAAATGTTTGAAATTTTCTTTTATATTTCTCGTAGAGCCCATGTGATAAAATCATGAAAAGTGATTTATTTCTTCTTATTGGACATATAATATTTTCTTTTAGATAACAAATCTTAGTAGAATAATCATCAAACTCAAAACTGTTAAATGGAAATCAAATCACTATATCTATTGCAAAAATATATTTAATGGAACCTTTTCCTTTATCTGCCATTCCGAATTAGCCACCTGGTGGTGGAATGGTCCTTTTTCCATAAAGTTTTGAAATCTTGTGAAAGTCTCTTTTTTAATTAGATTTTAGGAGATCTGGATTTTCAACCCTTAAAGACTAATATTTTCTTCTATTTTATGCCATATTTGAATTCTGTGTGTAATTTTCTATCAAAACAACTTTGATTTAAACTGTTATTTACTTTTATTCAAATTCTAATGATTTTCTAGTTGTCTAAAAAAAAGTTGGGCTAAATCCCCATTGACACAATGCTGAAAACCCTTTAAAAGTTCATTTACTCTTACAAGGATCACAATTTTAATGTGAAATCACAATCCACATGTCAATAAGATCATATAGTTACATTTCAATGGAGTTTTAAGTTGATCAAAATGGAATTATTTCTTAAATCAAGAAATAAGTGACTCTGGCAATACATTTACATGTATTCTAGCCCTACCTTAGCCCTACAAATACCCATGGTGCCATCTATTTTTCTTTTATATGGAAAAAAGGTCAATTATACTACCTACTGGCATCGGGGTAAGTTCTTCAAAATTGTACTGTATTTCAGTAGTAGTTCTCACTACGTTCTCGAAAACGGGCTTCAACTGTGTACGAACGGACTGGGCGTACTTAGAACCGTTTGGGGTCTATTTAAAATCTTCATCGAACGTACTCGAACGGGTAGGTCCTCTAGAACCTAGAACATGCTCAAAATGTTCTTGTGATCGTCACGTTCTACAATTAGAACGAGTGACAACGTACTAACGACGAGCTGGACGTACTACGAACTACTACTACTAAGGACGTTTTTACAACGAGTTGAACTGTCTGAGGACGTATTGAGAACGGGGTAAAACTAATGGCAAACGGGTTTAAACTGACTGAGAACGTATTAAAGACTGCTTATGAACGAGTTAGCAAAAATATAGCTATCACACCAAACAAGTTGCCACTGCGTTCTTCAAAACTGGTTTTAAACTGTGTGCGAACAGAATGAACGTAGCTGCAACTTTCTAAGGTCTATTTACGAACTTCATGAACTTTCTCAGACGGGAAGGTGATTTTAGAATTTTGAAATGAGTGAAAATTCGATGGCGACCATACCGTTCTGTAATCAGGTCATGATGACCTTCTAGACTAAAGGACGCGTTATACGACGTTGCACACCGACGTGGTGCGACCTGAACGAACTACGAATGAGATGGACGTATGAACGAAGTAGCTAATTATTTTAGACATATTTCCCGACCATAGCCAGATTGAGCCCGTTTTGCGACGTTTTCGTAGGACTGGCAAGAACGGGTAAGAAAAGAACTAGTTTGGTGTAGGGGGGTAAACGACACTTCTCAAAAGGAATTCTCAACGAACTGCATAGCCGCTATGCAGTTCGTTGAGAATTCCCGCGGCAGTTCTAAAATATTATCCTCAGTTTCAACATGGGCTTTCAAGAGACCATTGGGATTCGGGCTATTAGGATCCGGACCATTGGGATTCAATCGATTGAGATTCGGATCAATGGGATTCGGACCGCTGAGATTCGAACCATTGGGATTCGGATTACTGGGGCAAACCCCTATAATAGTAGTCCGAAAGGGGTATTTCGGTCGCCAATCCTCTATTATTCATTGTACATTAAGCACCAATTGGCAAACTAAATGGAGTAATAAGATTATTTTCTTTCAGTGTCGAGACGTTCATCAAGTAGAGGATGTTACTCAGAGGTGTGCATTCGTCTCTGCCACTGATAGTTGTAAAGAGGACGACGGTTTCATCCAGTACGTCGATGTTGTTTACTGCAAGTTTCCTAGCAACCTGCTTCCGCTAGGTGTCACTGTTCTGGTAGGACAATAATGCGTTGCCATTTTTGCTAAGGGAGCATCTCAAAAGTTCAATGTAGAATCATTTTTTTCCTCGACACAGGAAAACCAGTCTTATCACAAAAATTTAATTTACTAAGCCAAAAACAATGTGCCCAAGATTAAAAGCAATTTTGAATTTTTAGCAATTGATGACCCAGATTTATTGAAAATTTATGTTAAAAGAGACCTAAAAGTACCATTACCAAGTTATACAAATATGATAGAGATCGTTATATACAGGGGTGATACAAAAATGCCACCCATGAATCTTCACGATTTGTTAAGTGAGATAGAGTGTACAATGGAGTATGTTTGCATAGCATCAACAACTTGGAAATTTAGAGATATCTCATTTTCCGCGGAGACATGCGGAGACATGACACGAAAACACTCAAAAATGGAAATTCTTTTTTGAAAACCCAATACTAAATAGTAAGCGAGTCAATCCATCAAACTATTTAAAAAATTATTTCATAAAGATATGACATATTATTTCATAACATATGTGAAACCAATCCAGAAATGGCTCAAATAATGGCTAAAACAGAAATCCCAATTTCAGAAAATTATATTTTTGAACATTTTTTTGACAAAGATGCCGATGCTATACATGTACAACAATCTTTTATTCATTGAACACTCTATCTACACACAAAAAATGATGAAGATTCCTTTATTATTAAGGAAGTTGTTCCAAAATTAGTGGCTGGCTTTTTTTGCGTCACCCTGTGTTATGCGAGAATTCAAAAATGCATGTCAAAAAATCCAATATCAATGGAAAAATCACTTATTTCTGTCCGAGCATAAATGTATTTTTCCATCGATATTGTCCCCAATGACATGATTATTCTGTTATAATGCATGGAGGATGTAGTGCATTTTTGTTCATTAGTCTATTTATGGTAGCATTACTCTTGTCCTTTATTCCTTTCCCGATTCATTTACGATTCATCTTCTATCCAAACTTTTCACCTTGAAACAATTTTCAATAACACCCTCTTCGCTTGTCACTTAAAAGCAGACAGAACGTATTTTTTAAAATAAAGAACAATGAAACAAATAAATGAACCTGACGCATAGACAAGCTGTTTTTGAGACTAAAAGTGATTGGCAGATGCTATCATCTGATAGCATGCATAAAGCGAAGCTTTGATATTGGATTTCGTGACATGCATTTTTGAAATTGTCAATTATCACTAATATCTTTTTCTGATTTTAAACCATTTGTTATTCAATTAGAAAAGAAAACGATACTCTCTGACCACTCTATCATCATAGGTAGGTATGTTATAAATCGTTCATGTCACTATCGTGGTGCATATGACCTTGTTTCTCAGACATCAATGACCCTCCCAAGGTCGGGCCATATATCACTGAGATCTCGGGCATATACAGGGTGTTTCATTATTCATGTACCCCCTGCTAAACCCATACATGTAGCATTGCCACCCAATCATGCATTATAATCATTTTGTTCATTATGAAAAGTTACATAGACCTTGCAAAGTTAAAAATAGAAGGAGGTGTCCCTGAAAAAAATAAATACACCAAAGTATGTGGGTACGGTGCATTTTGTAAGCATTTTTGGGCCCAGTCCGGTGATCTGTTCACTTTGTCCACTGCCCATTTTCATAGTAATAAAGGTGGTACCATGGCCCATGGCCTCCGTATAAGCCACTGCATGAATGCTGTCTATATTTCTTTGTGAATAACTGTCACAGACATGTTAACTGAACTCTGCCCTGGTGACAACTGCTAGAAATGTGTATTACAGAAACTAAATTTGTCCTTTGGATTGCCTTCAAAATTACAAAAAATTGCTCTCTAAATGACATACAAATACTTTGATACATTGTATCTTTTTTTCTGGGACATCTCTCGAGTTTGTATCAACCTTATGTAACTTTCCGTAAGAAACAAAACGATAGATAACATGATAGGATGTAATGCATCCTGTATGCGTTTATATGGGGGTGCATACATATGCAGCACCCCGTATGCCGCGATATTGACATGACCTCTAATTATTTTGTAGTTCGTTTGGTGGCTGTTTATCTTTATTGGACTTGCAACAACTGCGGATGATTTGTAAGTTGGAACTATTTTTATATACACATCACATTTCTAAATTATGAGAAAATAATCCCATAGAGGGTTGGGCCTCTCATGTATGGTGGGGAAGTAATCTCTTGATGCAGTGCAACAAAGTAAAATACCAGTCACATAATAGATGTATGTTTTGTTCATGTGATAGGTTCATGGATTGATTATTTATGAACGCGGACTGTATATAAGTGGATTGACCTTTACCATTTTTGAAGATAACTCACTTTTATTTTCACCCAAATATCTCACACATTGCAGAAGAAACTATAAAAGACTAGCAATAATAAAATTTCCATCGGATAATATGCAGTATTATTCACATATAGAATTTTGATATAATTTCCATGAAACCTCAATATTTTGTAGTAAGTAATTTTGTAAATTAGTGATCATAATCGTACGTTTATAAATATAACCATACTCATGCACTGGCGTATCCTGGGGGTATGGGGTATGGGGCACCCCCCCCCCCTGGGTGGGCCAAGAAAAAATTGTTAGGCCTCAATAAGTGGGCCATTTCGGGTATTACTTAGCCTTCTAAAGGCCTTTAGGCCAAATTATCAAAATTGGGCCTCGAAAATATTTGGATTAAGGGCCCAATTTTTTATAATTTGAAATGTGCCCCCTTGTTGCCTTCTGGGTTCGCCAGTGCTCTGATTATTTAAAAGAGTTGTGAGAGATGGCTTGTTTAGCCCATTTTCTTTGAATGTTATTCATATTTTCAGCTTTTGTCCAGATTTAGCCGTCATCTCAGATACTCTACGCCTTAGTCCCAATGTGGCTGTATCCTTTATTATGGTGGTTTATCATATGGGTCATCCGTTAGTCTGGTTTTGGCCAGACTTGGTGACATTATTTTAATGTCCAACTTTTTTTGTGGACGGTTCTTCGACGGTTGGTGTTCGACGATCAATAACAATAATTCGATAACAAATTTTAGGCGATATTAATTGCATATCAATGCCTTGTTATCTACGTTTCAAAAAGCTGTATGATATGTTTTAAAGATTAAACTATCTAATCATTTATGTAAAATGTTAATGAGTGTTCATTAACTAGGTTAGCCTGATGAAGATGTATGAATACATCGAAAATTGTAAATCTCAACAACCATTTATGATTACCTTGTAAAAGTGAATCGGGGACTTTCAATGCACGCTATATTATCCTGACATGTCTGATAGTCATTTGTCACACAAGAAAATATGTCATACTTTTGATTGATACTTGTAGTACTCACTCAGATCATCGGCCTTCACAATATGATTTGGCATATACGGCAAGCAAGGTAACGCTGTCCCACGGGCCCGTCCAAAGGATGTCCGAAGATAGGGAGTCCACGATGCGGAAGCTAGGGGGTATTGGGGCATACCCCTAGAAAAAATTTAGAACCTCTCCGGTACATTCTCCAAGCATGTCTGAGAGCCATATTTGCATCATTAATACAATTCTCTAAAAAGGGGATATTCATATATGGGAGAGAGGTGGTCACCCAAACGCCCTCTCCATTCGGACGGCCTTGCCTCATCATATTTTCCAGACGTGTTTGAGTCTGAAACTGAAAATGATGTTATCACATCAGCCACGATTTCAAGATGAATATATGTATGTTATGTGATCTATCATCGAAGTACAAAATAACTCGAAATGTAGTTAATTATTAATGTAGGTCGTCACAAAGACACAAAGGATTTTGAAAAATGTCAGGTGCAGCATGCCAAAAGTTAACCCACCAGACCCAGCTGGATGGTTACTCTTTTACAATTGCTAGAGAACGATGCAAAAATGGCAATGATAATTTGGAAGCACAATGGCCAATGACAAAAAATTCTAAAGGTCTAAAAGCACAGATCTATGCATAACACTGAAAAAGAGATAAGTTACATAGAATCGGAGTGTAACAATCAAACCACCCAATGATTAAACGCACAGGGCAACGTCACATGAACCTATTGTTTAAAAAATATGACCTCCTTCCCCACCCCGCATTTATCAGAAGCCAAAACCTCAAAACCAGTGGACAAATACAATATCATTTTGAAGATTAAATTAAACAAAAATACAAATTATCGTGGATTCCAGTGTAGCAACCACTTGAAATGTTAACAGTAGTTTTACAAAAATCAAGTACTTTTAGTTTTTCAAGTGTCTCAAGAACTCTTAAGTGATCGTCATATCGCTTTTCAATTGAATAACATTTCTCAAGTACCCATGATTAGAACTATTATTAATTGATTATGACACATTTATGAACATCGATTGACCTGAGTTGCTAATCGTCCACTTAGCATATATTTTTTGAGATGTTGCTTCCTATCTAACAGGTTCTCCCACTCCTCTACTTCCCCAACCCCTAGTGTAGATTGGTGTAAACTTACATGGCTGGAAACCATTCTATGGCCAACCCCAAGCGGCCGTTTAGAATTTTATTATATCTCAATTTGTATTTGTTTTGTATAACCTGAATATATTTAAATCAATATTACATATGAAACAAAAGTATAATATAAAATTATAATCACTTTTTATAAAAATTATCATATCACAAAATCCATAAATTCATAAATTGTTTAATACTTGACTCGATTCATCAAGCCACTTATAACGATGTATGCACAGCGATCACCTTAACATAAACACAGGGGGTGACCTTCCTAGCTTTTGGGAATGGAGCCCCAGATATTTTCTCTGCTATCGCTGCCTTTTCTAGTTCCTCGGGTGGAGATGCTGGTCTCGCCATTGGTGGTCTGTTTGGTAAGTATATTTCTATAACTTTCACTCCATAGTAGAGGTAGAGCCCCTGAATGATATTCTCTTGTAGTGTGTTTTAATTACTACGCACTATTGTGTATCAAAATAGATATAAGAACTAAATTAGTCAGTAAATTCATCATTATTTAAGTACTCGTTGCAAATCGTATGCACGGAATGTCCAGGTAATGACGGCTCTGGTCTCCGTCATAGAAATGTAACGATAGCACAACGTACCAAATCATCATTTTACTTTGTCTGTTTTAGGTGCTGGTGTGTTTGTTACGACGATAGTAGCGGGAACCATAGCAATAATCTGTCCGTTCGTCGCCATGCAGCGCCCCCTGTTGAGAGATTTAATTTTCTACCTGGCTGCCCTTTTTTGGACGTTTGTGATATTTTACAGAGGAAAAATGTTTTTATGGGAAGCTATTGGTAAGTGAAAATAGAATATAGTGTACTATGAGGATAGCAAAAATGATCTTACAGATCAAATTGAAGTCAAATTGATACTATTTTATTTCAACTGGAATTCAAACAATTTTAAATCAAGAAAAGATCCCGGTACATAACCAGTACATATTTTATCTCCTTTCCCCAATTATTGCGTAAAGTTTTGTTTAGATAGTACTCTATTTCGGATAGATAATAATTGGCAGTTAATAACATTAACGATCACAGTGACAATTTGTATTAGTATCTGGACAACCTAGTCTTACATTCATAATTTAGTAGAACATGTTGTATATCATCTTTTAATCGCACATCTTCAGTATCATATTAACATTCACCTTGGATACAGTACAAGAGGGTACTTCAGTTATTTTTAGTACAAATTCTAGTTTATATATGGCTTGTATCTTACACAAAAAACACAGACTTAGTGGACACCAGTTGACTATTTCTTACTTCCCTAGCTTAGATGGATGTTTTCTATTATTTTAGAATGCTGATTTGCATGATTAACGTTCATTTCTTGAGGTATCAAATGACCAAAGAATTTCCAATTTCCATAACTCAATTGAAAACAAACCCTAATTCCCTAAACTTTATACCAATAACAATACTATAAGACTTATTCTACTTAATGAGCGGTGTTGATCTTTATACCTTCATGAAGAAGATAGGAAACGTTTGGGCATCCTCGCTGCAAGGGTATTTTACAAGTATTTACAAGAATTTAGGCATAAATGAAGTCCTTTGAAGAAGGATGCGTTTAGGTCTTGGTGACTGCTTCTTTGGAAGATGTGATTTACAATGTAATAATGACACGTGATCATTTTTTTAATGATCTTGCATGTGAATGTGACCTTCTTATCTTGGGGGACGATGTAAATAATAATATGGGGCATAGACATTTCTTCCCTTTTGACAAGTGTGTCAAGAGGTTTTTAAAATATTATATCAATGTGACAAGTCGTTCTATTTGTTTTTGTGATGTGATATACTATGTCGTTATATATAGACATCAGGATGTATCTTGGAAATTGATGTACCTCACTATATTTGAGAGTATGTCAGTAACCTATAAGTGAATATAAAAAATATATAAGAATGAAAGAATTATATTAACTTAGTAATTAAATTTAGTTTTTACCATATTCTTAAAGTACACACTAAGAAAATATTGTTGTGTAATAAATCACCGTTCGGTTTATCATGTTTAAATAAAGTCATAAAAATACTCCCTTGAACAATATAAGAGAAGTTTGATTACTTTAAAATTATAACATACGCCAAAACGGTTAATATGTAACATACCCTAAGTGTTTTTTGTTTTGTAATAAGTCTGCAGAGTACCCATGTGATATTTCTTTTTGATCTTTAACTTTTAAATAATATATATTCCAAATTAGTTTGAAATTAGCGTAAGATTTATCATATCAAAAAGATTGGGTTGTTCTTGAAATAACCTACACCTACTTATCAGCTAATACGTATCATAATATTATGTCTGTGAAATACCAATAAATAACGTAAAACGCTCACCATTCACGTGATCCTTCGCACTCCAACATGATACACTTCAATCAGTTCATTGACGTGACAAATACCCAAGAGAAAAAACTTGATCTTGATAATCTACGTTATGACGTCAAATGAGGATATTTTGAAACCTAATGTCAATAGCTAAAGATCATCTACACTCTAAATATCTATTTTTAGATTTTAAGTTCTAATTTAGGGTATACTTGTTATTTATAATTTATTAGAAGACAATTCAGTCCGTCCTGAATGTACCAAAGTACTCAATTCATATGTTATCCATAAATAAAATACAAACACACCTGATTTGCATGATGCAAATTCTACTATCCATATTTAAATGCTACAAACAACTACACTTAATTTACACGATGCAAGATTTAAATCAAATGCAATTTTAATTGCTTTACTAAAATGCGTGTTTCTGTTATGTGAAATTTCATAGATCAATCGATTTGTACCGACAAAAACATTACTTTTTTCAGGATACATTATGCTGTACTTCATATATGTAATTGTTGTGATCCTTTCCCAGACTACTTTCACGAAGCAGAAGGACAGTAGGAGAAAATCTATGATGTCAAGTAAGCAAACTCAAATATCCTCCCAGTTTTACAACCATCACTTGTACATCGTTTCACCAATAACATTATTCTACAACCATTACCTGTACAAAGTTTCAGCAATATCGTTATTTTCAACCATTATCGTTTCACCAAAAACGTTATTTTACAACCATTACCTGTACATAGTTTAACCAATAACGTTATTTTACAACCGTTACCTGTAAATAGTTTTACCAATAACGTTATTTTACAACCATTTACTGTAAATAGTTTTACCAATAACGTTATTTTACAACCATTTACTGTACATAGTTTCACCAATAACGTTATTTTTGTCATCTACAGGGACGTTCTTGTATCTAAGGAATTGACATATACCGAAATAGGCCTTATGATAAATATACATTGATAAATTAAACAAAACCAAAAACGTTTTAAAACAATGATATAATCCAAGCTAATTTTAGCTGTTGAGATGCGAGGCCATAGACCATCTATACAACTAGAGAAGACAGCGGACGGCACTTCTGTCGTGAGCTTGCCTGACTCTAATGCTAGTGTTGCCCATGTAGAAGATGGAGTAGACACGTATGGGGTAACTCTCGTCATTTCACATCAGCTATAAACACAACGTTTACTTGGTTAATTATGGATTTAATGTACGAATCAGACATGAGAAGTCAAAAAAGCCACATACAAAGTTTAAAAATATGTGGTTTAAACTTTATATTGGGCCTTTTAGTATAAAAACGTTATTTGAGAGATGGGTAGCATGAATTTATCTCGATTCTGTTTTGCTATCGTACATTTTTAATAGTCTTTCATTTCTTGTTGTTGTATGATGTTTTATAAATTTTTAATTGTTAATCTGATCGATTAATACCATGTTGCCACTTTTAGGTGGGATCTTTGAGATTGGTGATATCTCCTCTAGAGATAGACCCATCTAGTTTAGATGGTCAGGTAAATCCCACAAAGAATACTATTGCTGTGACAGAGGGAAATGATAACCCAGCATTCAATAACAATAATGAGGACATCGAAAGCAAAACTATAGGTAAACATCTCTGCCCCGTGTAGTTTTTCTTCACTATGTATTTACTTAGTGCACGTAAAGAACATGGGTTAGAGGGATAATGATCGCGCTTTAACTGTAATGTCTTTCATACAGCAGATCAAAGGCTGGGTATATTTGTTACTCGGCAAAATTAACAAACAAACAAACGCTAATCAGGGTTGGAGTTCCTCTACACGTTCCTTCATTTTCAGATGTAAATGGTAATATGAAACAAAGAAGAAGTGGAAGCGTGGAGAAACAGCAAAACGGTAGCATCAAAACAGCTGATAAAACATCAGAATTAAATGACCAAGAAACTGTATTTACCATCGAGGACAAAGTTGGTACGTGTATTCGTCTACATTTTGTAGAATATTATAATTTGAGGTACATTTGATTCATTTAGAATCAAACAAAATCAAACAAAATGTAACACCTATAGTTTAATTTTATAACATGAAATATTTCTAAAACTATACTTTTTGACAAAAATCATTCGTATTTATAGAGTGGTCTAATAACTCATCCGATAATTTCTTATCCACTGTGTTGTTAAATTGTATGTGTTGTATGTTAAATTTGTATACTTAGTCAAGAGGATTGCGTTTCCATAATTGTATGAACATTTCAGACCCCATACCACGTGCTAACGACGAAGATATTGTACAAGAAGTCCAAAAGGATCCAAATGCAGATCTCAAGAATAATGTATCACTAAACAAACTTCGAAGGCAATCTAGTCAAGGTAATCAATAAACACAACCTCATATATAAGTAATATATTATTATATCCATAGAAAAGCATGTATCTTTCAAATTGCAGCAAATATTCAAGTATTATTTTATAGTTTGCACCTCACTGGCGGATCTGGGGGGGGGGAGGGGCTGGCCCCCCCCCTCCCTTGGGTGGGCCAAGAAAAAGATTGGGCCCAAAAGATTGTTGGAACCAAAAAAAGCCCCAAAAAGTGGGCCTTTTCGGTCATAACTGGGCCTTGTAAGGCCTTATTTTTTAATCATAGGCCAAATTTTGAAAAAATGGGCCTCAGAATTTCAAAATTTGGGCCCATTTTTGGATTTTAGGGGCCCAACATTTTTTACGCAGGAATTTTTTTCTCTGACCGGATATTTGCCCCCCCCCCCCCTTGTTGGTTCCCTGATCCACCCCTGCACCTAAAGGTTTCTCGTGCAAAACTACTACTATCGGTATGTGGTCTTGAAAGCGCATGTACTACTGCTATTTTCACACTGTTACATTTTCTTTGTTTTAGTATCATTCAAGATGAACGGAGATGAAACAGTAGATACCCGAAGATATAGCCTTGCAATAGAATCATCTGAAATAGGTAACGTATAATATAGTTCTTAATCTTCAAATTTTCTTTCAAAATTTATATTAACATATTTTGACGCCAAATGAAAAAGATATGTTGGTAAATATAATGTGCCACATACGTTATTCGATAGATTTTTCCATTAAATACCCCCATCTTTTGTTGTACCAAGGAAAACAGGATATAATAGGACACTATTGACGAGATAATATAACACTTCTATGTGACACTACAGTTTGAAAATGCGCTACTTTGCATCCGAGTCTTCTCCTTTCTTCGTATTTGAATTCATGGACGGTCCTTAAAAATAAGCTTTTAATTATAGCTGAACTTGAAAAGATTCGAAAGAGGGCAGAAGAGGAGGGTGAAAAAGTAGAAAATCCACTGGGAGAATTTTTAGCAAAAATTAATCCTATAAATACCGAAGACTGGAGTGAAATGAAGTGGTATGCTAAAATATACGAATGCTTCAAGGTAAGATGTCCAAATATGGTCATAAGGGTAAGATAACCAAATATGGTCATACCATCGGCCATCCGGGTTGTAATTTTGATAGGTCGAGAGAAAATCATGCTGGAAGATATGCAAATTCAAACGATGGTTTCTTTCAATTCTTTTCTGATGAGAAATGGCTAACCGTATTAATATTATGACTAGTCAAAAGCAGATCTTTATAAAGAATCAAAACTCAAATTGATGATTGACTTACAGATTTCTAAGAACGTCTTCAGCTCCTTCGCAGTACAAACCATTGTGTGTCGTATTTACCATCAATTTCTGCATATTATAGGCACCTATAATGTTCCTGCTCATAATCTCAGTGCCAGTTGTGAATTTCGAGGAGGAAAGAAATAACTGGAACAGACACCTAGTTTGTCTAAACTGTTTTATAGGACCAACTTGGGCCATTGTAGGATTTCAAGGTAACATTTTCTAATTTGTGCCATTGTAGGATTTCAATGTAACATTTTCTAATTTGTGCCATTGTAGGATTTCAATGTTACATTTTCTAATTTGGGCCATTCTAGGATTTCAAGGCAACATTTTCTCATTGGCCAAAGTTAACATTATTTTAACTGAGTTCATCGCAGGATTTTAGGTGAACATTATTTGGGTAATGATAGGATTCAAGATTTGAGATACTATAACTTGTAATTGGAGTTTGGAACATCATAAAATTTCAAGGTAGCATTGTTTAATTCTGGTCCATCTTAGAATTTCATGGTAAATTAAACTTTGGATTATATCGCACGATTTCAAAATAATATTGTTCAAAGGCTTATGGTAGAATTTCATAATGACAAGATTTCATTAAAATAATTGGGATATCGTATATTCTCAATGTAACAACGTACAATTTATCAAATTTGATCGTAAGGTTCTTGTACATAGTGTAACAAAATTTTGAATTTTTTATTTTTGAATTAGTGCTGTGTACTCGTTATTGTACATTTATTACACTTGAGATCATTATGATCTTAAATTGTAGCAATGTTTGCAGCACTTAGGTTGTACTTACAGGGGTGAAATAGTTCGCATGTTTTATTTATTTGATCACGATTTTGTTTATGTTGATCGGGCAGTCTTATCTGGCAGTCTAATTTGTAGTTGATCGGTAGTCTAACATGGCAGCTTTATTATTTTACTTCCTGCTTTTGATTCTATCAAACCGAAGTAAAACTAGAGTAAGTAGTACGGAAAGCGAAAGGGGATATACCGCAGAATTTAAAATTCAATGGAGTTTTAACATGGGAGTGATATCACACACCGCGGCCCAGTCAGATATATTTCTGCGCACTTTATTTATTTAATTCACTTTGCACAACGCGCCCCCTGTAATTCATTCAGTGCGCAATTAAAAATCGTTTATGAGTGATATCGCACACCGCGGCCCAGTAAGATCGATTTCTGCGCACTTTATTTATTAACACACTCAAAATATCGCGCTGAAGCTTGTATATGCTGGCGCGATGTAATTATAGTTTTCTGTTAATAAATGCCCAACAAGAAAGGGTAGCACAACGAATTCAACTTTTTTCGAAAGACTGCAGACTTGACCTGCGAAATTGTAATTTTGGATCACAGTGATGCCTCTATAGAGGATATCTATGAGAATTACAGATTATAGTGCGCAGAATTATAAAGTCAAACTGACCTCAAAATGGTAGTACACAGTGTACACTGCCATCTTTCAATAAAGTAACTACAGACCTTCGTATACAAAATACCAGAATGATTGATGTAATACCTGTATACCATTTCTTCTGGGAGAAGGAAAGTTCCTATATGTATTCCATGGCCGTAGCCAGGGGGCCTCACCCCCCTCCCCCTTGCCAAATATTCGTTCAAAATCATGCAGTTTTTCACCATTCTTAGCACTTTTCGCATGATTTTTTTGCCATAACTGTCAAAAAGCTCCCCCCTCTTGGCAAAATCTCCCCCTTGGTAAAACCACTCCCCCAGGTTAATCCAGGATACGGGTCTGTATTCTTAGACGAGATTGTTCAAGAACATAAGGTAGACATAAGTGCCACCTGTTAAAAGCTAGGAGATCTTTTCTAAGTTATTAAGTCATCAATCAGCAGATTGGTAATTGTATCTCCCACCCACTTCAAACTCCATACACTAACATACTATTACAATTTTATCTGTGTTTATTTGACTGTAGAAGGTGTACATTCATAGCATTGAATTGCATTTCATTGCATTGTATTGTATTGTATAGCACATCATTGTATTGTATTGTACTGCATTTTATTGTATTGCACTGCATTGTATTGTATTGCACTGCATTGTATTGTATTGCACTGCATTGTATTCTATTGCATTATATTGTACTGTATTGCACTGCATTGTACTTTATTGCACTGCATTGTATTGTACTGCAGTGTACTACATTGTATTGCGCTGCATTGTATTGTATTGCACTGCATTATAATGTATTGCACTGTACCACATTGTGTTGCACTGCATTGTATTACACTGCATTGTTTTGAATTGCACTGCAATATATTGCACTGCACCATATTGTATTGCATTGCATTGCAGTGCACTGCATTGTATTATATTGCACTGTATTGTATTGCAGTGCACTGCATTGTATTATATTGCACTGTATTGTATTGCACAGTATTGTATTGCATTGTCTTGAATTACACTGTATTTTATTACACTGAATTGTATTTTATTGCACTGCATTGTATTGTACTGCAGTGTACTGTATTCTATTGCACAGCATTGTTTTGTATTGCACTGTATTGTATTGCATTGTATTGAATTGCACTGTATTGTATTTTATTGCACTGCTTTGCACTACATTGTATTGCACTCTATTGAACTGCGATGTATTGTATTGCACTGTATTGTATTGCACTGCACTGAACTGCGATGTATTGTATTGTACTGTATTGTATTGCACTGCACTGTATTGAACTGCGATGTATTGTATTGCACTGCATTGTATTTTATTGCACTGCATTGCACTACATTGTATTGCACTGTATTGAACTGCGATGTATTGCACTGCGATGTATTGCACTGCATTGTATTGCACTGTACCACATTGTATTGCACTGCATTGTATTGAAATGAACTACATTGTATTGCACTGCACAGCATTGTTTTGCACTGTATTGCATTGCACTGCATTGTATTGCATTATATTGCACTGTATTGTATTGCATCGTATTGCACTGCATTTTATTGTATTATATTGCACTACATTGTATTGTATCATATTGCACTGCATTTTGTGCATCATATAACACTGCTTTGTATTGCATCATATTACACTACATTGTATTGCATCATATTGCACTGCATTGTATTGCATCATATTGCTCTGCATTGTATTGCATCATATTGCACCGCATTGTATTACATCATATTGCACCACATTGTATTGCATCATATTGCACTGCATTGTATAACATCATATTGCACTGCATTGTATTGCATCATATTCCGTATTTACCATTTCGTTACAGTTTTATTACATAAAATGTTATTTATAAGATTATAATTTTCAAACATTGAAAATATTTTATACAATATCAATTAAAAGATATGAAATGGCCCAAAATAATATATTTTCAATGGAACCCTTTGCAAGGGTCACTTCAACATAACGCCATGTGTAATCTGTATGCATACGCCCTCTTTTAATGAACATTATCTTTGAAACCATATTAGAAACGAATCTGATAAAAGTGCGCATCATGGTCCTGGATGTGCTGCGCGGTAGAATCGGGAAATTTCAAAGTTCTCCTCGTTAGAGCCATCAATATTATCCAAAATTGTCATTTCGCTGGTTCACTCCGCAGTCTTTCGAAAAAAATCAAATTCGTGGTGCCACGAATTTTTATTCGTTATTTATTCACAGATAATCATTTTTTCATCGCGCACTGAATGCCGGAATTTCTGCGCACTTTATTTTAATTAACTTTGCACAACGCGGCCCCTGTAATTCATTCAGTGCGCGATGAAATCTATCTGACTGGACCGCGGTGTGTGATATCACTCCCATGTTAAAACTCCATTCGATTTTGAATTATGCGCATGTCCCCTATAGCTTTCCGTAAAGTAGCGATCAATTACTGTTATATTTCTTGAGTCAATATTAAAATCTTGTTGTATGCGTAATATTAAAGCTGGATATGGCGTCAATAACTTGTTATTCAACTTTGAAATCTTGTTCGAAAAGTGATGACGTCACCAGGCCTATATAAGTATTTCGCCGATGTAAACTCGGCAGATTACAGCTAGCTTTCGTTCGGGACAGAGCTCCGTTCAATTTCATATTTTTATGTGAAGTTGGACTTAGTCGTTTTTCAAGGAAATATTTTTGGACTTTGACAATTTTCAGTAGAAAGTTGTTGGGACTTTGAATATTTCCCGAGGCAGATAGGAGATACATAGCTGCACTTCAGTTCAGTGGATGATAACTTGGACATCTACTTGTGGTGAAGGATACCTGAGAGGGAAGACTGCTACACCGTGATTCTGTAGATGATAACTTGGCCATCTACCCGTGTATTTGTGTAGAGGATACCTCAAGAGGGAATATTCAGTACCGTGTTTGGAGGCAGCATCAAGCCTATACTAGATTTCTGAGCTCTGTCAGTTCAATTTCATGAACACATGAAATTGGACTTTGCGTATTTTTGAGAGAGAAATTATTGAACTTAGTCAATATTTGGAGAAACATTATTTTGGACTTTGTTTTTTTTGGAGAATAAATATTGAACTTAGAATATTTCAATATCAGTATAACTCAACATTAACTGAACTTAGTTATTTTCAAGGGCACATATTTTGAGTTGTAATATTTTTGCCTATGTTGTTGTGTGCATGCTATATTTGTAGGTAGCCTGATTATTTAATTGTGAAGGAAGTATTAGACGTTTTTGGACTTAGTAGTTGGAAGATTGTGATAGTTTAACTACAACACATTGAGGAGGATCCAGGAGATAGTCGTTTCCAGACTTGATAATTTGACTTAGATTATTTCACATAATCAAAGTTGAATTATACTACAACACATTGAGGAGGATCCAGGAGATAGTCGTTTCCAGACTTGATAATTTGACTTAGATTATTCCACATAATCAAAGTTGAATTATACTACAACACATTGAAGAGGATCCAGGAGATAGCCGTTTACAGAGCAATAGTTTGACTTAGATTATTTCACATAATCAAAGTTGAATTATACTACAACACATTGAAGAGGATCCAGGAGATAGCCGTTTACAGAGCAATAGTTTGACTTAGATTATTTCACATAATCAAAGTTGAATTATACTACAACACATTGAAGAGGATCCAGGAGATAGCCGTTTACAGAGCAATAGTTTGACTTAGATTATTTCACATAATCAAAGTTGAATTATACTACAACACATTGAGGAGGATCCAGGAGATAGTCGTTTCCAGACTTTATAATTTGACTTAGATTATTTTACATAATCAAAGTTGAATTATACTACAACACATTGAGGAGGATCCAGGAGATAGCCATTTACAGAGCCGATAGTTTGACTTAGATTATTTCGCATAATCAAAGTTGAATTATACTACAACACAGTGAAGAGGATCCAGGAGATAGCCGTTTACAGAGCAATAGTTTGACTTAGATTATTTCACATAATCAAAGTTGAATTATACTACAACACATTGAGGAGGATCCAGGAGATAGTCGTTTCCAGACTTTATAATTTGACTTAGATTATTTTACATAATCAAAGTTGAATTATACTACAACACATTGAGGAGGATCCAGGAGATAGCCATTTACAGAGCCGATAGTTTGACTTAGATTATTTCGCATAATCAAAGTTGAATTATACTACAACACAGTGAGGAGGATCCAGGAGATAGCCGTTTACAGAGCAATAGTTTGACTTAGATTATTTCACATAATCAAAGTTGAATTATACTACAACACATTGAGGAGGATTCAGGAGATAGTCGTTTCCAGACTTGATAGTTTGACTTAGATTATTTTACATAATCAAAGTTGAATTATACTACAACACAGTGAGGAGGATCCAGGAGATAGCCGTTTACAGAGCAATAGTTTGACTTAGATTATTTCACATAATCAAAGTTGAATTATACTACAACACATTGAGGAGGATCCAGGAGATAGTCGTTTCCAGACTTTATAATTTGACTTAGATTATTTTGCATAATCAAAGTTGAATTATACTACAACACAGTGAGGAGGATCCAGGGGATAGCCATTTACAGAGCCGATAGTTTGACTTAGATTATTTCACATAATCAAAGTTGAATTATACTACAATACAGTGACAAGGATCCAGGAGATAGCCATTTACAGAGCCGATGGTTTGACTTAGATTATTTCATATAATCAAAGTTGAATTATACTACAACACAGTGAGGAGGATCCAGGAGATAGCCATTTACAGAGCCGATAGTTTGACTTAGATTATTCCGCATAATCAAAGTTGAGTTATACTACAACACAGTGAGGAGGATCCAGGAGATAGCCATTTACAGAGCCGATAGTTTGACTTAGATTATTTCGCTTAATCAAAGTTGAATTATACTATTACACAGTGACGAGGATCCAGGAGAGCTGATAGTTTGACTTGGATGATTTCACATCATCAAACTTGAATCATACTACACTATATAGAAGAGGATCCAGGAGCTTACTATTCCAGGTTCAAGATACAATAACAATACAAGACGTACAAGTGGTACAATTTACATGAACTTTGCATATTCGGGATACAACAGTGTTATATAGTGATCATCAGTTTCAGTTTATATGGACTCTGGATATTATTTTATCAGTGATAATTATTATTAGCTCATATGGACTTTTGAGTTGTGAGTTTTGAGAGAAATAATAACATCGTAATATTCTTACATTACATTTGAAATTGCATGTACATCTTATTTGGGCTTATAAACGCCACAATATATTGTTTTATATTATATATATAAAATTGTATATTTTGTTTATTTCTTTAGGGACAAAGCACATTTAACGTGTGCCGTGCAATCCACAAGTAAACACCGTTTACTAAACAGTGGTCTTTTTATTAGCCACACTACCACATATCCACAAAAAGGCCAAACTGTTACAATAGGAATTGCATCTGATGAATTAAAAAAAAACACACATAAGGACAAAAAATTACTTTTCTTTCAGTTTATAGCACAGTCCTTGGTGGTGTTTTTCCGCTGTTTGGAGTGACACTTATTGTTGGATTTGCTTTAGCAGCCCTTGTATATTTTACCTCAAAGAACGAGCGACCACCAGTATATCACAACGTAAGGAAACTGCATCAATATCTTACGTAATGTATGTAAAAGTGGTAAACGACCACCAGTATGTCACGACGTAAGGACAAAACGTCAATATCTTACGTTATGTATGTAAAAGTGGTATTCTACTTCCAGTATATCACGACGTAAGGACACCACATCAATATTTTACGTAATGTATGTAAAAGTGGTAAACAATAATGTGGAAGCAATAGATCTTGGTGGACTTTTGAATTATTTTAGCCATGGATATAAAAACAATTTACTAATTTAGGAATTCCTATATGTATGATATATGAATGATTGAAAGTCTCAAATGTCGTTTCCTTGCGCGCAAGGTCATAAATATTTGTTGTTTTGTCCCTATGATTGCTTGTACTCGAAGATGTTTTTAATACTATGGTCATGGACAATTGTGCTGACATGTTCTTGTACATTCATATCTTTTTAGGCGTTCGGTTTCCTTGGATTCATTGTTGCAATAGTGTGGATCTACGTCATGGCCAATGAGATCGTGAACCTGCTCAAAGTAAGTGGTATAACGGTATTGTTTTCGTACCTTCGTACCTTCAAGCGCTTCTTTATTCTAACATTAATCGGTCATACAAACGCATTCATTTGATTTACTGTTAAACTACTCATTCAAAGTACACATGATTCACATCGTATCTTTTTGTGAATGATTTTGTTTTTGTAGATGTTTGGTGTTGTGTTCAACATTAGTGATGCTATTCTAGGACTAACATTGCTAGCGTGGGGTAACAGCGTAGGCGGTGAGATATCCTGTTTTATATGTCTCTGATTAGTACCAGAGAGCATCATATTATTCGGATTTAAACAGGAATTTTATTAGTGTAATTTTTGTACACTTTCCTTCAACTGGCACACAATCCTTGTGCCAGCACATGAAGTTATATTTGAGTATTACATGTTTTTTTTACTTTTGCCTATATGTCAACATCATTATTAATTTCTTCCGCAGATTTTATAGCTGATACTGTAATGGCAAGAATAGGTCGACCGAGAACTGGATTTGCTGCATGCTTCGGAGGACCATTGTTTAGTATCTTTTTTAAAATTTCAACATTGTTCAGTACATTATTGCGTATACTATTTTAATTTTTGACATGATGTACTTCCCCTAAACACCAACATTTAGTGTTCAGTACATTACGTATAAAATTCTATATTCGACATGATGCACTTCCCCTAGACATCAGCATATAATAGTGTTCAGTTCATTATTGCGTATACTATTTTAATTTTCGACATGATACACTTCCCCTAGATATTATGTTTGATCCTACCAATTTTACATCCATTGAACAGACAAATGTCTGCTTTTGACGACACTCTATTGTCCAAAATATCCTTTGATATTCCTTTAATGTTATGTCTTAACCTATATTAGATCTTCTATTGGGAGTTGGGATTCCATTTACAATAAAGATTGGTGGTAAAGGATCCGTTCCAGTAAGTACATGACCTTAATGTATGTATTTCAAACTACCTTATTATCTTATACATATATATGAATATATTAACATCTGATTGTGTTTGAAATGTATTTTACTAAATCTTTTCCATTTTCATTTTAGTTAGTGTATTCTTTACAACAAGTGATATTAACGGCCGGTCTTGGAGCGAGTCTGGTATCTTCCTTTGTTAGTATCCCACTCATCTTCAAATTCAAAATTAACAGAGCGTATGGACTTTATTTAGTACTTTTATATGTATCTTTTCTCGTGGTAGCAATATTGGCAGAGGTAGGAGTGATCAAAGGAAAACTGAAATTTATTTGAGTTGACAGAGGTGTGTCACTTTAGGTGACTTATATTTGTAAACGGATACGAGTGGTAAAGCTCTAAGGAGGCTTAGTTTGAAATTGTGATCAAAACGAGCATTTGGTCTGTCTTGATATGTGGTGTCGAGCTGCACAAGGAGTCGTAGGTACATTGGGCTAAAATTGTGATAGTACAACAGTTCAGAGTAAGATGAAGCGCAAAATGTTTCAATTTTTTCCAGTCTATATATTTTACTTAGATATCAAAAGTTTACATGTCCGATTTGGGCATACCTTTCAAATATGTAGTCCTGCGATGTTAGATTTATAAAATCGACGATCCATAGATCCAAATCGTATTGTTATGCTCAAATCAGATACAATCTCGAACACTCTACATCTACCATTACATGATAGACGCTCTCATATTTAGGGTTTATATAATTTCTTAGCCATCCCCGCCCAAACATCATTAATACGAAATCATTTTCAACAGAAATCATTTTCAATCAGATTGATGTGATTTCATCTGCTTAATTAAAGTATTCTCCAACTGCTCAAAATTACATTGTACTAATACATGCAATTATCAATACTTTTTTATTTTAATGATGTAAATAGTGTTATTGACTGCTATTACAAAGCTGTTACTTGCATAATATTTATTAATTAATTTTTTAAAGTTGTACAGTGCAAATGAAATATACATAATATATACATATTTACACAGTGTGGGTATTTAAGTGTATCAAATTTGGAATAAATATATGTATAAAACAACATCAAGCTTTCTATATTTTCTCTTTTTCTGCATAATTGCAAGCATGCGCGTGCGTTGCCTATTCTTTTCGCCAGACTGTTGTGACGATATGGGATGACAGATGTGCTGGACTGCACTGTTGAGATAAGAATTCATGGACGGTTCGCCGACCACGCCACGTCTGTCAAACGTCTATATAGACATATATAGTTGTTGTAGATATATAGTTGTCATGGCACAACTTTTAGTTATTCATACACTCCCCTCCATAAGTTTGGCAGCCAAAGCTCCCCATTGAACTACGTGTTAAAGCCTCTTTACGTTTGAATTTTTATTTACTTAACCGGCGATAAAACGTAACTTGACTTAATTTCCAATACCTCCTTTCTCAATTTTTTTCCTCAATTACAATAGGTCGAAAATTGGCGATAAATTTGATGAATTTTTGAAAATCGTCATTCCTATGTAATCCAATGGGAAATGGAGGGTTCGGGGCAAATCAGATATCAGGATATCTTTTCAGTTAACGATTCAGAAAAAATATTTTTATATAGAAAATTGAATTGTCTAACTTTTTTGTACACTAAGTGTTTAGTTTATTTGATGAATACTAAAGTTACAGCGCTTCAAAGTCATTTTTGAAATAACTTTGTTGAACGTGAAGACACATATCAATTCTTTGTTAAATAAAGTTAGCAAATTCAATTGCCTGCCTAACTCGTATATTTTGCAAGGACTCGGATGGATGGATGTTCTGTCATATGACTTGCGGCAAACCTACCATTTCCCATTGGTTAACATGGGAATGTCGATTTTCAAAAAATCATCAAATTTATCATCAATTTTCGACTTATTGTAATTAAGGAAAGAAATTGAGAAAATTTCGAGGTATTGGAAATAAAGTCAAATTACGTTTCCATAAATAGTATAAGTATTTTCATCGTAGGTTAAGTAAATAAACATTTAAAGGTAAAGGGACTTTAACACGTAGTTCAATGGGGGAGCTAAGGTTGCCAAACTTATGGAGGGGAGTGTAAATCACAACATTAAACAAAACTCGTGTCTTCTGTTCACAGGTCAATAGGGCATATGGCACGTTGAACAAACCTCACACGTACACAGTTCGGCATACAACACATAGTTCGGCATAGTTATATGTTAGTCCTATATCAAGTGTTCATATTATCAACGTATTCCCTCCACTTTTGGTGATTTATGATGAACAGTATACTAATTGATATAATCATACAGTACTGTAGTGGTATAGCTTTCAATAAAGAAGCACTGTTGTAAAACGGACAGTATGGACACTGGAAGGAACCACATACTTGGCAGATATGTAAAAAGTTCAAATTGTACACCGAGTACATCGTTTTGTTCTGTATTTCTGAAACAAACAAATGGAATATACAAAACAACTAAGTAAAAAATCAATGGTTCAAATTTAAAAAAAGTACAAAATTCAAGATAGGAAAAATTCACAAAATACACGTTGGAAAAGCTCAATGACATACATTTATTCCAAATGACATGTAGCCTAATGTGTATGACTGTCAGTGTATATGTACCTGGCTCATAATATTCAGCAACAATTGCCCAATTCTGAATACTTATGTTAGCACTAGGATACCATCTGTCAGCTCGTATTCGTGCACACATCCACTCAGTACTAATCTAAAACGGGAGAGAACCGATGCACAGCCACCAAATATGGTTATATCAATAAGATGGCCGAAGATGCTTCAAAGAACCAATCAAATTCCTTGAAAGACCAGAGTTAGATCCTCGGCCATCTTTGTTACCCAATTATGTTACACATCGCATTATTATGTAAAAAACACATAGAGAAACTCAAAGGATCTAAAAACAATGATGTAACATACAGTGTTAAATTCATCTCCACGGAGTCCCCTACAGTTGCACATTTGATTACTTTTAGTATATTAAGTTCTAATTTGAAACTCAACTATTGTTCGCTCATTTACCTTTTCGAACCACATGATTAGAAATCTTAGTTTCTCTTTGAAATGGTTTCTCTTCACGAAACTATATGTATTCAATTGTCTGTTGAGCTCCTCCTTCAAAATGATATATCCTGTGGGTATTTCTATCTCTATAAAAGCCAGCTGGCTATGTGGCCCTAGATCAGTGCGGAGCCATCTGAAGTTAAAAAGTTTATGAATACAATATAAAAGAAGCATTTCGGATAATGCATTTTTATAATATTTATTGTATACCAAGTGTGATACGATTCTGATAACAAGAAAATGAAGCTCATACCATTTTAATTATAAATAACAATATAATGAGAGTTAGTTTGAATACCACTACTTTTAAATATGCATTATTAAGAAAGTATTAAAATGTCCTGTTTACCTTGTGCATAAATCTAAGTACATTATACTGAAGTTTTTTCCACCCCACTCCAAAGCTATATCAAAATCAAAGTGTCTGTCAAAACCCTTTGGCAGCTGTGCAGGAGGCAATATTTGCTCTGGGAACTCAACATGTACCTTGGACTCCATCTAAAACAACAGGAAACCATGACAAGACTCAAAAGTTATTGGAACATATAAGTAACGTTATGGTAATAACTCTGTGATGAAGTGATTTCGTTTTTGATCCATTTAAATAATTTAAGTTCACCGATTTTATTCAGTTTTTAACCACTAGTATCATGAGAATTACGACGACATATTTTGAGGTCGGTTAAAAAGATCTTATTCATATTTGAGTTTTACGGTAGAAAATCCAAAGTATCGAGAACACGAGAAAATCAATTTCCAAATGTGAGGATGTCTTCCTCACATTAGACATGAAGTTATATGACTGTTCGATGATTTACTCATTTATTGTCGATGGCAATTATCACGGTGTACCTGTATCAGTGCCAATCCATTTCCCCTTGCTGTAACTTTGACACTCCCCCAAGCTTCTGGTATCTATGCAACAAAAAACACAATGTTAGGCAAGGAGAAAAAAATTCCCGTTCTCCTTATGCGATACAATAATAATACGATCTCCTTTCACAATGACGTAGATTGCGTTTATCGAGTGGACACTTTTAGTTAAATAAAAATATCAAAATCTGAATTACAATATTTTATTTAAAATATAATCCGTATGTTTCCCTTACAAGCAAAATCTATATAAAATATTTACCTGTATATTCTGAGCAACGTTAAAGTTTGTTCTATCCAGAACGACTGTTTCTGACCAGCTGGGCGACGCTGTTGACGTCACAGTCAGTTCCATGTGGTATAACTCGCGATTTGGATTAGTTAGTCCGTAATTATGCAAAGCTTGCATTGCAGTAACTGTATCCTATAATAAGATATCAGAAACATTTAAAAACAGAACAATTCAGATTTGTATTGAACTATTATTTAAACTATACAATGTTGAAAAACATGTTGAAAAGTATTTTATTCGATAAAACAATATATCCATGGCCCATTCCCCCCGTTGCTATGACAACCATAATTTTTTGCCATATATGGTAATGGGCTCGAAAATATTATCAGAGGATGATGCGAAATACGACAATGCAATTTCAATGAAAGTGAACAAATATAAAAGAGAATAAACCAAAAAGAAGTGAATATATTGATCGATATTCTTGTATTGTCATGAGTCGATGGTGATAGAAAACGAATAGTTAAGTGAATTATTTCAAGTCATCTAAGAATACAAGAAAATTGTTTTTAAGTAATATTTAACTTCATTCTATAATACGCAAATATATCAGGCCCGTCAATCTTTCAAATTATAAATTATGCATTGGAGGTCAAACAGCTTAAATAGCAATCAGATGCAACAAAATAGTCAAAAATACTAATTGAAAGCAAGTACTTACGATTGAATTTGACCATCCTCCCAACGCCTTGCGTCTATACTGCAACCAATACATGATCTTACCGGCCTCATCTAAGTAATTGTTATGTACAAAGCACATTAATGCATATGACGTAGCCATGACTGCGGGGCTTTCATTGTCCCAACCTTCTTGTGGATACTGGAAAGGGGTGACGTCTATTATCTCTACTATTACTGAAGGTATTTCCTTAGAAGCCCAATACGGCCATTGTTCTCTTGCGTCTGAAATGAGATATTTGTTTATATGACTAAAATAATTGCCAAGCCCTCATAAGGCAATATAGATAAATAACCATCTTCTTGGTCTACATACTCATTCTAAGATAAAAGGTCAATCATAAGGTATTTGGATTTTTTTAGGTATTTTGAGCTGTTATGTCATGGTCAACTTAATAGGCCAAGGTCATTCCAAGGTCAATATATAAATATCTGGCGTTATATGGCATTTGGGGGCTGCTGTGACCATTGGCGACCAATGATTAGGTGACCTGAGGTCAAGGTCAACTTTATGGATCAAAGTGAAACTCAACAGCGTTCTCTCAATAATAGAAGTGAAATAGGCAATCAAATTTGCTCACTTTATCTAACACAAAATCAATGTGTTTCTTCAGGTTTAAAGTAATACATGTAGGTCTCTAAAGTCAAACCTCTCCCATTGAAATAACACAGGAGGTGAAAAATTTTGACTTTGCGAAGCTCTATAACTTTAATTTTTCGTAAATGTTTCATACGACGAATAGATATATCCTGATCTCTGATTTGCCCCGAACCCACCATTTCCCATTGGTTTACATTGAAATAACGATTATAACGATTATTGGACCTATAATTATTGAGAAAAAAGTCTTGAGGTTTAGGAAATAAAGTCAAATTACAAATTCGCCTTCATAATCAGTTTTTTCATTGCAGGTTATGAAAATAAAAAAAAATAAAAAAAAATAAAGCTGCTAAACACGTAAGCCTATGGTAAAAAGGTTACCAAACTTGTGGAGGGGAGTGAACCTACCTGCTCTCGCAAGGCTCTTGAGTTTCTTAAAGAACTCAAAAGCATCGGGATGGTTTGATATATGAAGTGCCCAGGATACAATAGCAAAGTCAAATGGATCATCAATGTCAGCTAATGTCCCGGCGAGGAAATCACTAGCCTTGTCCCTGGAGTTTATGACAGCATTTGCAGCTTCCTAAATCAAATTCATGAAGAGTTACTGTAAAATTACTTAAAAACGTCAAATGAATATTTATTTTCTTCACTATTATACAACAAGTGTCTGCCATGGAGGGGAATTGTACAATATGTTTTTTCCAAGGGGGAATGCTGTCCACTGACAGTCAGACATGCCTCGAGGCAGCAGTCCTATTATCAGTGGACAAGATATCCCCGAATGGAAAATATCTGCTCCATTTTACGAAAATGTGGGAGTCATTGTTTTTCTATTCGAATGTTTAACTGAATGCTTTTTTCGAATGAATACAATACCTCATTCTTCCACTCAAGTTATCATGGATCTGAAGCACATTCACCATAACGTCCAAAATGTTGTGTTTACGTGCAATATCAAGACAGAAAATAACTTTTCTAAATTTTGCCAATCCGAGCAGTCAACCTCTATGAGAAAGGACGATTCTCGGTTTGGAGAACAGTCTCCTGGGCTAATAATTTTTTTCATGAAAAATATAGAAATATTACCCAAATTAAACTATGAATATTCAAAAGAGGACATTTAGATCTACAAGATGTAAAAATAACAAATTGGTCTGAAGCAGGGATAACAATCAATTAGACCAATTCAATAAAATACAAGTCTCGATTTGGGGAAAAAAGTTCATAAGTGTACTGCGCTAATATTTTTTTGCGAAAAATCTAGAAATATTACCCAAATTAAATTATGACCATTCAAAAGAAGACCTTCAACTCTATATTATGAAAAAAAATCAAATTTGTCCGAAGCAGGGATAATGCTCATTTATATTGATGAACTTCGTTCTCCAAACCGAGAATCGTCCTTTGTTATTTATTTCATTCAATTACCCCTGTTAGTGATATATCCCCGGACAGTGCAATTACGACATGTGCCGTAAGTGAGATGTTCCAATAGCCTTCGACACCTTTCAAAGTAGTGCGCTTGGGGTTCATAGGCCGGAAGTATAAAGGTCCTGATTCCATAAAGGCTCCACACGATGTGTTCTGATTACTTATTATCCAGGTAGCCATATCATTCATCAGATCAACGGGAATATAGAACTGATTTTCCCAGTTTGAATCCCTGGCGTATTTTAATTGGTTGAAGAAATGCGCAGTCAGCCTTAATTAATAAATCAAAATCGTTACACTTGATATTCATTCAGATGTTCTAGATTATGATATTATTTAACGTATGTTAAAGATATATCCTCACACAAAAGGGTATTTTATTTACGATAGGACACATCAAACGAAAAAAATCAAAAATTATATGAATCAACCTCAAATTAATGATAAACATATCAAGCAAGAACTGATTTTATATTTACCACAAACTTGGTACTTTTTCTCGTGTAAACATCGAGTATCCTCCACGTACTTTCTCATGTCTCACCATTTGCATATAATCTGAAAATCACAGACGATTAACTTATAATTTCTGCAAAATCGACATTTATTTATACACTAAATATATCCAAACTACTTGGTTTGGAACTTCTTTTTATTGGAAACAGTAACAATTGTCATTTGTTAATGTCAGGCTATGATGATTCATCCCACCAAGGTGCTACCCTTAGGCTACCATATCGACCATTCATTATAACTGGGGCATGGCGAAAAAGATTTAGGGCCCCAAAAATTTCGTAGGGCCTCAGAAATGTCGTATGGGCCTTTTTGGGCATTATTTTGTCTATTGAGCCTTTCTTAGGTCAAATTATCAAAATTGGGCCTTAATTTTTAAAGTTTGGCCCAAATTTTGGTTTCAGGGGCCCAAAAATGTGCACCCCCCCCCCATTGTTAACTTTTGGATCCGCCAGTGATATATTTTCATACATTTTACGGCAATTAGAAACGCACGGAAAAAAATTTGGGCTGTCGTTTGACCATTTTCCTGCAACATTTCAACGAATCTGAATTGATTTTCTCCTTGAAAAATTACATGTGGAATTTTTAATGTTTCTTCAGCAAATTCTTCAGAAACTAGTTTCAAGCGTAAAATTGAATTTAGCAACCACTTTGTGTAACTTTACAATCCCCCTCTTGGTCCTCAGTAGTAATTTCCATGAACTGTTCATCTTCCTTTATTTACCACATTTTTTATTGTCTTTGTAATTTCTATTTACAATATATATGGTTGAAGATTCTTACTATAAATCATTTTATCCAGATTCTTAGTTTGCTGTTCATTTGTAAGTTGATCTGTAGCTTTGAAGTATTTCAAATACCAAAGATTGTGTGTGAACTCAAAGAAATAACTTTCCATATGTCCATTCGGTATACCAAGCGTTGGGTATGTGGATCTGCTCGATGTGTAAAATCCTGGTCCAATAACATCCCCTATAACAGGTATAATATCTATATAGTGCTAGTATAAGTAGTTATATAATTAGGAATGCTTTGAAGTTTACCTTTTGTGTTTATAGTCAATTACCCTGAGTGTCTTATGTACATGTATATTAGAAGGTCATTTACTGAATATACAATGATTCATTTAGATATTAGCCTCTGCATTTTTGTCGAAAGTGATGTTAATAAATTGTAAAATTTGACTTACCAACTATTGATACGACACAGGTATTTGATCCAGGAATATAAAGATGGTTTCTCTGTTCTAGCACAATGAACCTCTCAGGAATGGGAATCACGAGGTCAGGTATCATGAATTGACTGTATTTCACGAGATCAACAAAATAGGTAGTTGGCCACCTGTTTGGAATTCCATCCATCTATAAGTAATGATACCTAATTAGTATTTCAATTAAGGATTTAAGCCTTGGACTCAGTGCATTGTGTGCTGAACCATTCCATGAAGATGTTGTTTCCAAATATTTGCATGACCGCGCAGCAGGAATCCAAAGTTTAGGAAACAACACATTTAGTCTTAGGCTTAAATTCTTTTCACACATTGCAAAATATTTTTTACAAAATCATCAGGAACGAAATCACTAAAGAACACATTTTCAATGGAATTTTTTGCAAGTGTCAAGTTGGCAAGTCATCAAATCATATGTGAAAAGTTCATTCATCACCATGACAACTGTCTAACTAGTGACCTTGAGTGTGAAATTGATTATTTCACACATTGTTCTATATGTGAAATACTGTGTTCGGATTGACTGGAATCAGACGCACCTTACCTAGCTATGTGTGAATTAATTTTAATTACCAAGGTGCAAATACGTAGTTTCATAACTGGTGGCTCATTCGGGTCAAATAACATGGATGATAGAGGAAAACATCCTCTAAACAAAAAGATTTGGATTTATTAGTTCGATTTTCATATAACTTTTCAAAGTTTGATAATTATCAAATAAAATATATATTCTGATATGATATGTGTTTTGCTCAATCAATCAATCAGAATATATATAGGGTGTCTCAAAAAATGTACCCAAAAGTATATCAACAGCATAGACAAACCAATCAATATTTTCAGACATTTTTGCATGGTCTTGTAGTCAAAACATATACGTTTTTCCCATATACACAGTTTTTAATTCAGTTTTGCCTTTTTGATACTTTAACCCTTTACCTTTTACACCGCATAATCAATGTTACCTCATATTTTGATGACAGTCTGCATCCTTACTACTACATTCTTCATCACATTTGATATTCCTAGTGAAATATTTTGATTTCTGTTTGAATGCTTGTCTGAAGTAGTTCTAGGTCTCTTAGCTTGGGTTTGGCATAAAAATGGTCCTTCAAATAGCCCCAGAGAATAAAGTATTGACCGTCAAATCTGGTGAATAGGGAGGCCCTCACAATGTCTTATAGGCCCCATACACAGAGAGGTCGGACGTTCAAGAAACTGAATTGGCTGTAATTCTAGTGTAGCCTTTGTTGTGTGTAGAGGGGCTCAATCAATTTGACACCACTGTGTTTTCATTTGGATATCATTTGGTCCCCAGGCTAGCCTGCGTAACTCTGGAAGGTAACTCCTGAATCATTTGCCGATATGTTGATCTGATTGTCTGTGTTTGTTCTGCCATCGTCATCCTCAAACATCTCTCTCTGTGGCTATTTGAAGGAGTGTTTTAATGCTCATTCCAAGCAAAAAGACCTACAACAACTTAAGGGCAACATCCAAAGAGAAATCTAAAACATTCCACAGGAATTAATATCAAATGTGATGAACACTGTAGAAGTAGTAAGGATACAGGCTGTCATCGAAATATGAGGTTACATTGATTAAGTGGTGTAAAAAAGTAAAGGGTCAAAGCATCAAAAAGTCAAGACTGAAATAAAAATGGTGTATTGGGGAGAAAACTTTCATGCTTTGCCTCCATGACTATACAAAAAATGTCTGAAAATATTGATTGGTTTATCTGCTCTGTGATATATTTTGGGGTACATTTTTTGAGACACCCTGTATATTCATACTATGAACTATACAGTAAATTTTAATTGGTAACATACTAACCAAGACATAAATTTTACCGGAACAAATTTCACCGTGTCGAAAGTTTTCTATACTAATTTTAAACTTTGTAGAACCTTTCCGAAGTGGCAGTATCGGCATGTGTACATATCTACTTTCCCCGGGAAATAACTGAAACGGTGAATATTTGAGAACATCATGAATACTGTATAAATATAATTATTATTAGGGGACTACTAATATACTATGTAATCCTCCTAGCAGTGACCTATATATGAGTTTTGAGCTACCAAATGTTTATCATTTCATTATAGTATATATTCAGTTGGTAATCTGAATATGAACTTTTTAACAGTAGTTTTTCTTTATTCCATAACGCTTTAATCTGGGTAGATTTTTTGAGGTTTATGATAAACATTGATCAGGTAGTGCACAATTAATTTCTCATTACAAATTAAGTATGATTCTACGTCAAAATTTTATTATTTTCAATATTTCCTCAAGATTGGTCATGGTATAAATATATGTAATGTCGTTTTCTCGTGTATAAATATATTGTACCATAAGAATAAAGTATGGTACTTACAGAAACCATTGTTTGGATATCGCCATCTTTTAGTTCAGGCGCAAAGTGGCTTAGTGTTTCACCGCTTTTAGCATCAGCTACTACAAACTTGTATTGTTTAGAACCAATAAGCGTCACCAGAACCTAGGTCAAATAGACAAACAAGGGTCAACTGTGTAGCTAAAAACCTAAAAATCCTCGATTCAATTATTAAACTAAAAAAAACTATTAAAAAATTATTAAACTAAACTAAAACTAACTAAAACTATTAAACACTAGATGGCGATGTGCTGGTTCAGAAAAGGAGAAAAGGGGTTTTATACAGGAAACCAAATTAACAACAAGTACCAATGACTATATTCCATGTTGCAGTATATGCTGTGAATTATGATGCTATATTTATTTCATAATGATTGCAGGTTTTTTAAAGTGTGGCTCATTGCGGCTTTTTAGGTTTAGCTTTGATCTGACCATAGACACAAGTGATGTGGAGGAAAAATATTAATAGTATACGTTTTTGAAAAAGGTTACATGTATGTCCCTAGAAGAATAAAATATTAAAGATTTTGTCCTTGGATTGCCATAGTGACCAATGGTCAGAACTTTTGCGAACCATTGCAAAACCGTATCACATATTTTTATAGGGACTACTACTTCTGTACAGTACACTATACTAGAGTACAGTACATTACAGTACAGTATTGTACAGTGCGGTACACTACACTATCGTATAGTCTAATATAGTATAACATCTCTTCTGATTAGGTACTGTTAATCTGTGGATTACCTCAGATGTATAATCTGCGTTATTAGTCAGTCCTATTTGTATCCCAATCTGTTCACCTAGTTTAGCCGTTTTGGGGAATTCACAACTGGTATACAGGTCCCTTATTGTTTCAACCTGGAATGTTAGATCCATTTGGTTGTAACTTAAAGCATACATGAGTAAACGGACTGCTCGTTAGCACACTACTATACCTAACACCTAGAAATGCATAAGATACTTTGTTTGTCTAATTGGATTGTTTAGTATATTTTTGAAAGTACCTTATCAACATCTAACTTTCAACCGATAAACCATTAATAAGGAACAGACAAATAAAAACAAATATATAATCATTACTAATAAGCCAAATTCGTTGCTCATGAAAGTCAAATGCAAGGTATAGTAGAGTGGTTAGGCTCGAATCAACGACCTCTTAGGTACGACTCATATCCTCTAACTGCTTGGTCGAATCCCCAAGTCAATTTATGTTTGGTTTATCAACTTAGCTGACTTTATCTGGAGGAGGACGTTGGTATTCCTAGACGGCATCATGTCATATATGAATATCAAATAGTTATTTACGAATATCCTTTGAACATTCATTATTTTCCTTGATTTTGGCAATTTAAAAACAATTTAATAAAAAAAATATATACGAGGGTTGTCCCATAAGTCTTGAAATTTTTATTCTAATTCAAAAAGATTTTGATGAATTTGGCTGAAAATTGGTATATATCAAGATCAATCAATTATCTTCAACATGTGATAGTTTCATAACAAAATTATGAACTTGAGTAACTATTATGGTTGCTATGGTAACCGGGGGAGTCGGGGGGTGGGGCAGTAATGAAATATAGTAAAAATGTAAAATGGAGCCGTGGGAGTATTAAGGATTTTAAAGGATGGTATGTATCTTAAATTGTGAATCACCTGTCAAGATTGACAAAAACACTGTATTCTTGGTAAAATCTTATGAAATACCTCTGTGATGTCATAATAAACTAGCACAATTGCTCAATTTTGGTACAGAGCCACAGCATTTTGAAAATCAAAATGGCAGGGATTTTGTCACCAGATGTTAAATCTTTGCGTGCAGTTGTGCAATACCACGCCTCCTTAAGGCATACACCTACACAAACAAGAACAGCCATGGAAAAAGTATATAGACAGTAAACTCCAAGTGCACCTACAATATGGAGGTGATAGAAGAAGTTAAAAACTGGAGATACCAGCCTGGAAGATCCTCCTAGAAGTGGAAGGCCAAAATCCAGTGACAATCTCATATCACATATTGCAGATAGAGTAGGCCTATAAGGGCTGAAATGAGAACTACTCAGTGTAGGAAGATCGCTTAGACTTTGATATTAGTAAGAGTACTGCTCACAGAGTGATGAAGAAAGACCTTTGGATGTCAAAGGTAGCCCCTAGATTCATTCCACATATTCTGACAGAGGAGCAGAAAAGGCAACGTGTTGAGCTGAGCCAGGGGTTCCCAAATCCTTAATTTTTACGTCATATTTGTATTTTTATCCTGTTTTCTGCCCCGGGTACCCCCAACATTCCATTTTTAATCATCTGTAACATTACCAAATGATCTTATTATGCTATGAAACTTACAGAGATAGTAGAAATATATCTACGTTAGAAAATGTGAAATTTTTATCATTGTATCTCAAATATTCTATGAATAAGAATAAAAATTTCAAGACTTATGGGACAACCCTCGTATATATACTAGTATTACTTAAAACAATGAATAATCCAAATCCATTTAGTTTTTTCAACTTACCATTTTTGGAAACTGTGATACACCCAATCCATTGTCTTTGCTCATTGAGATGGCCGAGACGACCCAGTTGATTGGCTGTGAAGGAGGCTTCACCATTGAATAACTGTCCCCTGTGGGCCTGTTCATAATTAATAAAAAATATTGATCAATTTTGATATCATTAAACATTTTATGTGCAATGAAAGGGACAAGCAATTGAAGGATTACTCAAAAACAGAGCCCGTCAAAGGTGCAATGCAACCAACAAAACTAAAATGATCAATTCAAAAATAATCATAGTTTGGACAAAAACGTTTAGGAAAAACAAACAAGTAAATCATTATTTAAAATAGGGTAGTTGGACTTTTAATTTGAAGAAGTATTATTGCGCACAGTGCTGTCTTAATAGAAACGTTGTTCTCTTGTGGTTCAAATCATATTTAATTACCTACTTTGTATATCCTCCACTCCAAGCCCATGTGATATCCGTGAATGGGTACATATATGGCAAATGCATGAATACATCTTTTTCTAATGCAAACTCTCTACTAGAACTAAGTTGGTCTGCAGTCTTAGCACCTTAAAACAAAATACAAAGAAACATTGGTAGATATAATCAAAATGGTATTTAGACAGGAATGATATTAAAAAATGTCAAATCTATACAAGAATAGTATTATAAAGCAAGAAAAAGACAGCACAGCTCGCCGTTCCATTGTCTTAGTTAAGTCCAGCGTTTTTATTTACAAACTTGATAAACTTTTTAAGAACAGTATTAAGAACTTACTCGTATAAGAAGGTTATAAGCTCCACAGCTCAACAATTTTACAAATAACATCGTGTATTGTGTCTTGTCTAAGACATTAATTCGCCAAAATTCCGTTACATTTTTAATTTATTGTATAAAATATACAAGTTTCCTCAAGTAAATATCTCAACGGGACCTTGAAGCACAGTTATTTGAGCAGTTCATTGTTTTCACAATTGACATTGTACTCACATCCCATTTCATCAGCTCCATCATCGCAGTGATACGTTCCATCACAATGATGTTCTATTTTGTAGCACGTACCATCAAAACATCTTAACCAGCCCAATGTCCCATTACATGTGTCTGAAAAGGTTTGAAATCAAATAATCAATAGAACTTTCTATATAAACCCTATCACCTTTGGTAAGTAAAAAATAAGCTGTTATACAGGATGGGCCAAAAGCGTCCACATTTTTTTATTCTGATTTAAATCCCACTTGGGTAGCAACACAATAGAATTTGCTGTGGTTTATTTTTAAGAATGTATGGTTTTATCAAAAGGAAAGTGCATTATTTTTCTATTGTTTTTAAAGAATGTACACTTGGCAAGCTATCAAAAACAAGTGAGACATAAATGACCATTGACAGTTTTTGATAGTTTTCATTCCCTAAAAACAATATACAAAAATACATGTACCCTTCTCTTGTTACTGTGCATTCATTAGAATAAAACAATTTATCAATTTTTGTTGCTATCTACATCATTGATCTTATCTTACTTACAAATATTCTGCTGTATTCAAATTCAATGTTCTGGACTGGACAGTCACCTGTAGTGCACTGACAGCTAAACTAATTATAGCCCACTCAGTCACTTACATCAACTTACACTCATGAGGTCAATGCAACCAACTCTTTTTGTTGTTACAATTAATTGGCTATATAACAACAAATTTTAACCAATAAGAGCCAGGGTCATTGTGAGCCTGGTTGAATTTTGGAAAATTCACAGTTTGACATGTTTGAATAGTCAACACAAAAGAAATAAAATTTTCCAGATTAGATCATGGACCACTTACCTGCAATATACCATTTACCTGTAATAAGAATGTGTGTGATTTAAGTAAGATAAAGCATTCGAATTCGATTTGATAAGAAATAATAACCTCAGGCCTTCGGCCTTCGGTGTATTATTTCTTATAAAATCTCATTCTTATGCTTTATCCAGTACATAACTTTTGGGAAAATTCATGGATTTATTAAAAAATCTTGATGCTGAATCAGATCATCTTTATCTTACTTATTTTTCTAATATTTCACTTTTTCTAGAAAGTATTTCAGAATATACTGAACACAATATACCCACTATGTTTCTCTGACGGACCAGATGACATGTCAGTTTGGTACTTGGAGGTACAGGGTGGTCAAAAAATGGAAACTCTGCATTTTCCTCATATCTTTGTCTTTTTACAAAATTACTCCCTGATATTTCAGACATTTGTACATCATTCACTTTCCTACCATCCTACTATATTTCATGACTATCAGAAAGGTAGTAACAATTTTACAGCACTTTGAATAACATGCTTTAGGTTTGGCCATCATTGTTCTGTAGGCAAACTTGCACAGTTGTCAATGGCCCGAATGCATTCCTGCACATGAACAACTTTATCCTATTTTTGTTGGAGTAACTGCAACCTACACACAATGACATAATCAATCTATACTAGCCACTATGTCATAGTTTTCGATAAACCAAATTGTGGCAGTGCTTGAATATTTGTTCCAACCAAAAGCTGTATAACTTACTTGGAATGGTTGTGACATTAGCATCAGAGAAAACATGTAGACCAGCATACTGAAATGAATATACATTGTTGAAGCTTAACAGAGTGTAAACATGGCATCAATTCTTAGAATATGTCGCGATGTTTAGCAGCTATTTCATGAATGGTTTTATAAAACTTTCCACAGGTCATTAAGATAGTATCAAATGGTGGCATTGTATAATTGTATACCCTACGCAGCGATTCAGGGTAGATGGGTAATTACTAAAAGCCAAATAAATGCATGTGCTCTGTAGATGCGCAAGTACAGAGTTTGAAAGCATTCGTATTCACTGAACTATTTATAGAAGTATTGGATGTAAGGAAGAGGTTGAAATGTAAAATGAGAGAACAAAGTTGGGTTTGTTGATCTTGACCTTTAGTGGAGCTAGAATAATAAGCTAAATTAATACAAGCTACTTATAATGGCAAAATATTCAATCTCTTTTTGTCGCCTAGACGAAGCTCTCTTTAATCGAAACCATTAAAAGCGTTTTATCTATGAATTTTTGGTGCTCTTACTACAAACGTTGTATTGCTGTCTATACCATGGGTCTGCGTATTAAAGTACGTCGTCTTGTCGTTCCAATCGGTACCTCGCCATGTAACCATTGAGCTGATATTTGTGTGGCTATCATATGACAATAACTCATCAGTTATCTAAAATCATCAGCAGAACATTTCCCTCAACAGTTGGCTTATTTATTACAGTCGGAATCAAAGAAAAAGACGAAATATTAATTATGGTATTGTCTGATTAAGAAAGTTAAGACTCTTGAACCTGAAAAGTGTTTATGAAAAATTGAAAATGTATATTCACATTTAATCTTTATTTGAATAAATACCTGGTCTTCCGTTATGAAATTTCTTCCACCCATGGTATATAGGTAGTAATTGAGTGCACTGAACGAAACCCATGTTCCTGGGTCAGCCTGTCCAATTATCTCAATTTCTTTCAAACTAAAGTCTTTTCCTTTGTTTGTTACCAGATCTACCTTTTAAGTACAATAAGAACACCATTTTGAATACAGCTTAAGTGCAAGGAACATAACCCCTCCATAAGTTGTGATGCCGGAAGACCCAATCGAAAAAAGTATCAAAAAACATAAAATCTTTTACTTCATTTTGAATTAGTCAGATATGATGCAATTGTAACCTCCAAAATTGTCAAACTTATGCAGGGGGTGTCCTGGTGTATGTCGCATGAACCCATGAATGCTACTTTCTTCTTTTCATCGATTTTTAATATGAAAGGAAATCAAGCCACCCAGTGGATTTGATCTGTATGATTGATCTTACCGTAAATATTTAAATGTATTATTCACGAGGTTCTTTAAGCAGATTTGATCTTCCCAAAGGAAATGTGGGAAAGGTATATTTCCCAGTAGAACTAAACATGCCCGTGTTCGCAGATATGATGACTATTATGAATACAACATTATACACTTACTTGGTGAAGACCTAAACCATCAACAAAGAAGGAAAGAGAATCAGCTATGATCTCGCCATTCTTCGCACATGATACCACCATCCGGGCACTTGGCATCATATCACGTGACAAGGCAACCGAAAATGTTTTCTGCTTTGATGTCAAGGAGATGTGACTCGATACAACAATGTTTCCCCGAGATACAATCTGAAATGAAATCAGTGCGATTGGGTAGTTACTCTTGACATTGAACTTGAGCTACTCTTCAGGGATTGAGAACAAAAAAGGTAGAATATGACCAGATCAAAAATAAGCACAACATATTTTGTCAAAAACGATTTGACTTACCTGATAGAAAAACTTCTGAATGTATGCACTACTTCGAACTGTAAACACCATATAATGGTTCACCTGCAAAAAATGTCATTCGTTCAAAGAATGAAACAAATGATTATAAGAATAAAATATATTATTCAAAATATCTTGATATGACTCTGCATATTTACCTCAATAATAATTGCTAATCAGATTTTTGCAAATATACGAAATTATAAAAACCGGATAAGAAATAAAGCGAAATAGTTATAAATCAAATCTAAAGAATGTTTATTATACCTTTGGGTGTCTTGTTGATGAGGTCACCTGTATATAATTGTTACGTAAGCTATACGTTCTAGAAGCAATCATCCTTATCTCTGGCAGAACTATTCCTTTTACAGAATATTTTGCCTGAAAACAAATGCAAAATATTGACAAAAACAAATTACAGGACAAACAAACAAACAAGCAGGCAAAAAACAATTAACAATGCCGGCAGTCTCTGAGGTGAGTATAGGATTCTTAATCTACTAGGTGTATGCTGCATGCCATTAATGCATCACAAATGTTTCCGGCATGCTGGAACAAATTCTCTATGAGCACTAGTAAGTCATTAGATAATGAGATATCAATTATGACTGACCTAAAATCAAGATACATCTTCATGAATTCATATGCAGATTTATTGTCAAGGCACTGTCCTTTTCTATGGAGCTTTACTTCAATCACTCCTTGTGAATATATATTTACAGCTATATTGTAATGTTACTAAATATTACACACCTTTATCGTTATTGACTCCATGTCGTTGCCAGGCGTGATGGAATGATGAAGAATGTGGTCGTCAGGCATAGGAAAAATATCCGTCCTGGTTTTGGAACCCCCGCCCTGTGTCTGGTACAGTATAGTCAGTTGGACTGCTCCACCGTTTAGAGCATTAGGTTCATAGCCATCGCTTTGTGACAGAGCTATCTGAATAACACAGTGCATGCTGTCAAATATCAATGAATAACCATTTGATGGGTCAAAATGTTAAGTTTTTTTCTCTGAAACTTCATATCCATCAGGCAGGATCTTCAAATTACAGATGTAACACACATATTCTTAAGAAATCAGCAGAATTGTAGATAGGGTAATTAAATTAATATGATGTCAACACATAAGTTCCAATAGACAAAACCGGAAAGGCTATACCATGATAGTTGGTACTACATTATATTGTAGATAATTGAATGAAGTATATTTGAGGAAAGTTTCAACAACCTAGCTTTACTAATAACGATTTTACAAGTGGAGTCCCCTTTTGACCCCCCCCCCCCCTGGGGCTCATGTGAACCTTTTTACATTGGGGCTTCTAGGGTTGAATGCCAGCAAAAACAGCAAACGAAGAACTTACTAGAACTAGTACAAGACAATTATCAACAATCTTAGCCTCATGATATCAACTTACTGATCGATAACAACAAAATATACTTCATAATAGAATTAGTGAAACAAAGTTGCAGAAAATGCATGTTTTAAATAAAGAGAATGTTTATAGTTGACACCTTTAAAATGAACAATCTATTTTTTGATAATTTCACTATTTAAATGAATGATATTATATGAAAACAAAGTTAACAACTCCTTTTAACCATACATGGAAGTCTAATGCCATATTAGGCTTGAAGGTCCTCACGTCCCCTTCGACGAAATGGATAGAGTATCCTCCTGGTTGTATGAAAGTTGTCGCAGTACCCCATGTTGACTCGCAGGCTTGGTAATCATAGACACGCACGGTACATTTCAACACTGTTCCTTCTAAATTTAAGATGCCCTTATGGGCACGAAGTTCCTCCATTGTTATTAGGAACTGGTGCTCTCTATCAAACTGGAATGGATAAAAATGGGCAAGAAATATTGGTATCGTAAAATAACATAGGTAATTTTTGTATACATTTATGTGATAATATAAGTTTGATTTGATACTTTGATGAATTTGGATTAAATTTTTACCAACGCTATTTGATGACTTTAGAGTTATTTTATAAGTTTAGATGGTCGACCACGATTAATTGCTCAAAAGAAATCAGGAAAAATCGAGAATTAGGAAATGTCATGGATACATGAGAAAAATAATTGAGGAGCGGACATTGTTTGAGGCCCTCTACATGTATTATCGTCTCATTGCCTTTCCTAGGGAAACTGTTACATAAGGAATGTCTTTGGTGAGCAGACAGCGATTATGGTCCCCTAAAATGCACTTAAAGATCTAATAGCAAAGGTTTTGCAAAAATAAATCAATGTAGTATAAAACAAATGTATGTATTATGAAGAAATAAATATATAATGAAAAAAATAGATATGTGTTTGTAATATTGGTATAAACTTAAGATTAAAAAGTGTCACTATCTCTTTCATTTTTCAACAAATATAGGCTCACGTGACATGTGACGCGGGGCAGTCAATTTTGATCTATCGTAGACCATACCAGTATCAAATTACTGATATTTCAACCTCGTCTTGCGAGGCCATTTTGATTTGAAACATCTTGAATTTGGTGTCAAAATGAAGCTGGTCACGCCCACTTTCAGAGTTATCAATGAATCATTTACTACGACTACTATATTCATTTAGGAGGCGTGTAAAGTTAACCAATCAGAAAGACAATTGTTCCATATATGGCAGTTCATTAACATATTCAGTGTTTACTACTGCTTTTCACGTCATGACAACACGAGTAGTAACCAATCAAGATGCCGTATTTTATCACGTGAGTTCAGAGTGACACGCACGCGACATGTTGTCTGGGGTGATCGCGATGTTGAACAATTTCTCTCGGAATTTGTCCAGAGAAATCAGCGATTCTAAATTAAGGTAGGATCTGCCATTTTTTCCTGTACAAGTTATAACTTATCTCTATCGAATCCTAAAGTTTTGGAAGAAGATATGAAGCGTAGGTTTAAAAACGAAGCGATTAATTTGACGATCTGATTTTGCAATTTGCAATGGCCAATTTACTGCAAGTCCAGTGCATGTATTTGACAAGAGATAGCGCCAAGTCTGGTATCTAAATGCTTGTTAAGCCACTCAAAAACAAGATCCATATCTTCTAAATTTGATAACTTTGCAGAAAACCTGTTTTCATAATCTGTTTTCCGCGTCTAGATTCAAACTGAGTATGATAATAGGATCGCTGGAATCTTCAGTCAATGGCAACGGGTCTTCATTCCAGAACTCACATTTTTAGTTGATTCTCCGTCATAGTTCTTGTTTAAAGTCCCCATATCTGCTCTCTTACTGCCATACTTGCACACATTTCCCCTCCTTAAATTGTCTTCATTCAAATTACACCCTCTCGCCGATTTATATAGTCATTTCCCAGAACCCGGGAATCAGAATCGCTGATGTTTGCCATATTGAACATATTATATATCTGTACATTGACTGCTACGCGTTATGGTCACGTGACTAGCGCGATACAGGAAAAATGGGGAATTTCGAAACAACAATTTTTGGGCACTTTTATTGCAAATTTCAGGTATTTATAAAGTGTTTGTGGTATAAAATATAATCCACAGACATAAATGAACATCCAAACTACATATTTCATTAAGTTTTGGAGCCTTTTTTGCTCTTAAATCAACATCTTTAAGGTTATTGTCTCACTGCCTTTAATTGGTAAACTATTAAACTTACATAAGGAATGTACTTGATGAGCGGACGGTCTTTATCAGCCCCCATAGTTATGGAAATTGTCCCATTTCCCTTCATTGGGAGCCAGCTTGGAAAGTATCTAAAATAAGTATTTTACTACAGTACCAAACTACAGTACCAAAAACTGAAGGTCAACAATATTAACGATGTAGATAAAACCACAAAAATAGCTCAGCCGTTATGGAAATTGTCCCATTTCCCTTCAAAGGGAGCCAGCTTGGCAAGTATCGATCTTTGAAGTATTCGACAAATTACAATCTACAATCTGAGTACTTAAAACTGAAGGTCGACAACCGTATAAATGATGTTCATGAAACCACAATAAAATAGCTCAGTAAAATTGAAGTCAACAGGTAGCAGATATCTGCAATGTCAATCAACAATACCAATGATAATCCAGACTACCTCATTGAAAAGAAAGAACAATGAATACCTACCATATGGTACTTTAGACTCCTCGTGATTTGCAAGACCAAACGTATCAAATATAACCATTGAGACAGTGGATATTACATCAATATAAAAATCTGTACCCACAATTCAGATTTTAAGAACTGACAATACTCGATCATGGTCAATGAGGTATTTACTTTCCATATTTAGAACGAACAATGACTATAATATAAATGGGTACCGTCATACTTATATTATATTCCATATATAGAAAATCTTAAATGCCTAATATGGTTATGAGACTACTTACACTCCATATATAGAACCAACTATACCAAAGTCTGTATCTTTAGCATAAGGAGGCATCGTAACATTGACAAGCATTCTCTTTGGGTCTACAAATATAGTTAGGATACATGTATCCTTATGGGAAAACGAGCATGTAGTTTATATCATATTTTTTAAAGACTTCCCGTGTTAAAATGACAAAATACTTTAAATATGGGCTTTCTTATATTTAAAACGATACTCACACACTCGTTTTACATTGAACTTCTTCGTAAAAACATGACCCTGAAAAACAAACAATTTTGGGTATATTTCCCGGACATTTTTTCCACAGAAGACAAACACTGTTGATAAAATGGTTAACATAGGTAAAGAATAAATTTGCTATGTCAATGCCGATAATAGTACAATAACGTCATTTCTAAGGGCGATATAGTGAAATATTGGACCGAGGGCCGAATGCCCAAGGTCCAATATTTCACTATATTGCTCGCAGAAATGACGTTATTAGTATTATTACCACCGTTAACGACCAGGACTGAAACAGCAAGAAAATCTTACGCATTGAACGATATCCAATTTCCCGGGGAAAATTGCCGGTCCAGAATATATTCTAGACCGGTCCATATGGACCACCACTATGACGTCACACATTTCTCAGGTCGATATAGTAAAATAAACGCCTTCTAAACTAGCACTAAAACCCCTAGAACTGGCCCGGCAAGGTGGTAATAATAGTTTTTTATAATGATGATTTGTTACAGAAACAACATGGAAAATAATTGTTTGTGATTATATCGAGGAAGAAACTAGTTACATTATGGACAATTAATGTGTCATTCAAACGAAGAACTTTGACTTAATATGACTATGGCGGATGCAAGGGGGGGATGCGCGGGACATATTATGTACATACAGGGGCAAAAAGGAAGACAAAAATTTACAAAACACATTCACAAAAACATACAAAACCACA